AAATGCAGACGTGAAGAGGTGAGTTTTTATGTCCCCTTGGATTTGGCCAGAGTATTTGGCCAGGGTATTTGGCCAAAGTAAATATGTATCATCTGCAAAGAGACGACCAGTAGTTAAAAACCATTGGTAATATCATTGATATATATATATATGTGTGTTCAAAACAAAAGCTGTCCAAAAATTGAGCCCTTGGGTACTCCTGTTCGATTAAATCTAATTCAGAATTAGAATCGAGTTAAAAGACCTCTTGATGTTTCCGAGATACATTTTTCTAACCACAAATACAATTCACTGGAAATGCCATAGGATTTTAACTTCGCCATCAAAACTTTATGCCAAACTCGATCAAAAGCTTTAGAAATGTCATAGAATACCATACATACATGTTTTCCCCTCAAAAGTAATGCAGATGTGAGAAATTTCACTGATACGAATGTGGCCATTACTTTGGTAATGTAATTATTTAAATTACACAATACATTGGAAAAGTGCCATTACCATTACCATTACATGGTTCAGTAATGTTATTAATCAAATATTAATTACATTGCCAGTGTAATTAATTACCATTACATATATTTTTAACTAAACAAACGAGTGAGTGGGTAACATAAAACGTTGGGCTTTAACTCTTTCATTATAAGCATGAATAATATATTTATAACAGCATTTATTTATCTAATTTATCACATAATCGGCCTGTTTTCCAGTGCATTCGTCCGTGTAATATGTTTACATGTGTCACTAGTGTGATATACACCGGAGCGTTTTCATTGCCTGTGCCAGTCAGAAATCGATTGTGACGTCATAATATGGACAATGACGTGACGTCATAAATTGTGAATGGCGCAACAAAATGGCTGTCTCCGTTTGATTATGCCCTCTACATTTTGGCTTTTAAACCTGTCAAAATGTAAGTTTTCTGAGTTATGTGATAAAAAATATCTTAAATTTGTTTTCATTTTATATGAGCTTTTATGAAACTCGTCTAAAAGTTTTAATTTTTGCTCGTCAAGGCTCGCAAAAATAAAAACTCCTAAGATTCGTTTTTATAAAATCTCATATGAAATGAAAACTCATTTAAGATCCTTTGTATATATATATATTATAAACGTGAATGCACTCCAAACCACTGTTCAGTGTTACTAGAAGTTTGAAAAGTTTATATTATCATGAATATACACTGTAGTTTCACTAGTTTCACATAACAATGTCTTCACTATATACATATGGTTCATATATTATAACGATATTTGGACTTAGAACACTTTTTCGCCTCGAAAATCTCCATATTTGACTACTAATGAGAAAATCCAACGTAAACTGTCAATGCATTTTATTTAGATATTCATTTTACATTTAATCATCATTATATGTTCGAAAGTATCGTCATTTAGACAGCACCTGCCTGGGAGGAATATCTTGCTTAAAAGTCTCTCAACTGAAGCTATATTGATGTAAAATCCCAACTGAAATGATTTCCAGGTCTTTTTTGTGTGCACGAGTGTTTGTACAATAAAAAAAGGCAATATAATAACCTCAGAACATAGTAACTTATTTAAAGGAACAGCATCAGGCAAATTACTGAATTAAAATGAATAGAATAAAGAGGTTTACCTTCATACGAGTTATGAAGTTGGAGGTTACTTTTAAACTTCCAAAGATAGCTGATGAACAATGTCTACATTTTGCTTTAAAGTTTCCTGTAATTTCCTTTGGAATCTCAAAATAGTTCAAAATGTTAGAATCCATCATTCAGTGTTGGGAGTGTTTTGAGAAATGTTGTTATTTCACAGTGAATGGTTAAGTAATATTCCGTGTTTGGTTCAATGATAGTACCTGTAAAATTACTGCCATCTACTCTTTTTACATTACAAAAATAAAAAAAATTGATAAGAAACAGGAAGAACCAGACGATTGCATTCTCCAGTAAGCAAGTCGATATTTTTAAAAATCACCTGTAATTATAAAGTTTGGTGAGAGATGAAGAGTATTCCAAAAGGATAAGATAGAAAATATATGAATAAATTCGTGAAGTAGTTTTGGTCAAAATTACCTCATCACCAGGATGTTTTAATGCATGTAAGCTACTACTTTTAATTAATTATGAAAGATAACACCAACTAAAGTCGAGAACCCATAAGAAAGATTTGGAACTAAAAGAGAACATAGTGAGAGACATCTATCGTAGACATCGGAATAAAAGATACCGATCGCTATTCAATGACACATAAAAGAATTGTCCATTATGAAATAGTGATCTGGTATCTGATACGAACAAGACACAATCCTAAAAAAGGTTTTATTAACTTGTGGCAATAGAGAGAGACGGGATGAGNGAATGACATATAAATAGGCTTCAATGCATATGTATATAATCATATGACAACTGAGAAAAGAGGAAGAACGATTTGATAGAGTGGCACAAGACAGCTATAAGGGGATGCTGCATGCGTGATGGGAGAGACGTGAAACTCTGAGAAGGGAAGAACAACTGAATGGAAAGACACAGGCGCTTGACTTTATTATGGGTGTAGTGACAGACGAGGCTAGTGCCTGTGTGGCCTGAGAAGGAAATTGTACAGGGGTGGGGGATAACAAAGAAATAGATGATGGACGGTAGGGAGAACTAAGAGAAAAACAAAACACGAACAACTGGAGAGAGATTATACGACTAAATAAATATGTAAGTCTACATGCGCCAGCGTCCATTAACGTGACAAAACCAATGTCAAGAACACTCACACTCTGCTCACTTGTTTGTTTAAACTTTCAATACGAGGAAAATATTGGAGCATTTGCAACCGAGTCGTCCTCGTTACCCAGGGGTTACACTTACTTACGCTGCGCCCCTGGAATAGGTCATGGCAAACTTGAAGGCATGCGGCTAGCTATTTGATTGGATTCGGGCAAATAAATTGATCAATCGCTAGGCTGATACCTTTTCTTGGGAGATTACAGTGCGACATGACATATCCCAGAGGTGCAGAAAGCATAACTTCTGGAGTATCGAAGATAGTGCAAGGTTTATTGAACAAAAGTAAATATGCACGCGTCCAATTATACGTGCATAATTATTAAACAATGAAATGTGTCGCTACATCGCCGACGAGTAAAACCATGGCACGTTCGGACAATTTTGATTAAATATCTGAAGAATCATTTACTTTTTCGTCGGAAGATTGGATGGCTGAACGTGGCCCGCCATAACTATGATGTCATAAATCATGCAGCGTCAGATTTCGCCCCCAATTTTACGACTTGTTATTGAAGCATTTGACTGCTTACAGTTGGCATTCCTAGTCAATATTGACTAGGAATGCCAACTAAAAACAGCTCAATACTTATATTTATCATTTTCGGAATATGTTCATCTCATAAAATATTTAATTACACTTATTCAGCATTTAGTTCAAATAATGTATATATAGTGTATTCGTTTTAAATGAATAGAACAGCCATCGCCCAGGAAGGAACAGTGGTATCCAATGTAATAATTATGACGTCAACAATCGACCATGGCATTCATAGACTATATGAATGCCAACTGAATTTGGTAGGGTTATAGTGGCAATGCCATACGATGGTTAACAGTTAAAGTATGGGTATGAGGGATATAGCAAGTTTAGGATCCCCCGAGGCCAGGACTATTTCCCGAGGCGAAGTCGAGGGAAATAGTCCTGGACGAGGATCATAAACTTGCTATATCCCGAAATACCCATACTTCAACTGTTTTATTATACAGATACAAACACTCCCTTACAATATTCTAAATATTATTAGACAACATTTTATTAACAGTTGGGACACTTTTTTAACGAAACTAAAATTTTCCGATTGCGCTGATTGGTCAATATTCAGTCAGGCCCGCCCACGACGTCACTCAATATCCCGCATTAACTCAGGGAAATAGTTTCAAAACTATCGCACCCCTCCAGACGAACTATTTCCCTGGCATGCAGTTAGAGGGGAAATAGCTTGTTTACGTGGTTACTTTTGAATAGTGTAAAATAAGTAGAGGTATAATAATAAATAATATAAATATGTTTCCACTGGCCGAACTTGACCCGGTATCATGTGCCGAACCTGTCAAAAATTGATGTTTTAATAAATTCGTATGTTACAGCAATGCGAAAATCAACGCTAATCTTTAATATTTATATGTACATATAGGCCTACCGCCATAGTGTGAATTGAAGTTGTCAATGTACGTGTATAGATATAGGTAGCAATTATGTTTACAGAAAGTTCCCAAAACTAGAAAGAAGTGAGGTCATGGTTTTCCTTCTACCCTCCCAAAAATTAAGTTACTTTTTCCCTTGAAATTATTTAAAATTTGAATAAAAATAGACTTTTACCTTTTTGAAAATATTAAATTAAACGAATTTATCAAAATTCAGTATTAAATTCAAACAGAGACGTATATCTACAGTATACGTCTCTGGTTCAAATAAGTGTATTATTGTGTATGCCGGCTTACTAAATGAATATACATATTCTAATATACTATGGAGGGTTGGTGGACAGCATCAAAATTAGTAGGTCATAATTTTATGATGTGACATATAAGATTAGAAATTCAATTTTGCTGAAAATTGAACGTCAATATGTCTGCTAAGATGGGGGATGTTTCTTTCAGTGTAACGTCCACAGTGCCCAACTTACTTATTTGTGTGATTTTAAACAAGCTACCCTCAGATTCTTCTGTTATTTTCATTTATAATGGCCTCTGGCGTAGGCCTTTTTCATAAATTACATTCAAAATAGCCGCTCATCCACATCACCGAAATCTCGCGAGATTTTCACCCAGACCGGTTCCGCTACTGTGTATTCTTCCGCAATAATATTAGAGTTTTATCACTTGTTTGTATTTAGAATTAATACATTATATATCGCATGTAATTCAAATTTGTTGAGTAAAAACTGTATTTTGTTAGTTATGTGTGCATCAAAAGTCATGATACAGTGATCGGTTTATCTGCACTACTTGTATCCGCCATTTTGCGGAATATCTTCGAGGTCATTTACGCCAGGGCTGTTAAAATGAGAGATGGACCCAAATAGAAATGCACTTGCTGTATTTTCATCATATGTTGTTTTATAAGACGTATACATAGTGCTCGTGAATAATTAGATCGTTGTTTTACTCTACTTTCAAGGTTGAGCCATCGAAAGGCTCGTAGATATCCGTAACTTTACGAATATACCAGGTAGGTGTGAACGCAAAAATAACAAAACGTTCAAATTACAGCTCGACTTATCTCTTAGCTTCCGCTTTTAGTTTGACTCCTGTAATACAATATCATGCATGTATGAATCAATCGGGTTCTTTGTCGCGTTAGACAACTACACGTAGATTCTTTATTTTCATTGACTAATTTATTGTTGGCGAAAGAATAATTTGTCCCTGTCGACAAGTTGACGTTCCCAGTCGACACCCATTTTCTGTCAAATTGTGACCAAATGGTTCAGTGTATATTGAATTTGAATGTATGCGTGTCTGCTTCAGTTTTTTGGATGATTTCATATATAGAAAATTGACGTTTTAAGCTGTTAAAAATCGGCTATATTAAACGTCATGGGTAAATTTTAATTCGTTCTATCTTATTTGGGTTGTTAAACAGATTTCCTGCCTTTGGGTCATGACATCATCAGGGTCCATATATGCATCTGCTTTATGAGGGTCATTAATCAACACAATTCAGACCTATCCTTTAGATGTCAAATGAGTTTTATAATCAAATGCATTAAGCGCTAAATCTCATTATGGATTTATAAGTCTAAAGGGTATTGAATGTAGTATTAGTATGGATAACAATATTCACTATTTCAGTATTTGCTTATGTCCTATATTATTTGACATTGCACCAGCCCAACCCATATTTTCTATGTAAAATTTGAAACCTTTGCTAAGCCCTGACATAAAATCTAGCCACGGACATTTTGTACATGTACCTGATGACACTTTAAATGTGAAGTTGTACACCCATCTAATGTATTTGTACAGTACATATGTACTGAGATTTTAAGTAAAAAATGCTTCATGTGAGGGTTAACAGTATTATAAGTGCACACCATGTGGTAGGGGTGTGCATCATGGGTAAGGTAAAACATGAGACAGCTTATAATTATCTGGCCTTTTCCAACCAGCCCTCTATTAAATATATTTTTGTGTGTGTACCAAACAACATAAGTAATAAACAATTATTTAAAGTCCTGCAATCACTGGGTGAGAAATTTTCATGAATTCGTCAATGATCGGGGCAGATTCGAAGTAAAAGTTGGTTAAACTGACCCTGCGACATTAATAGCAATATTAGCTAAATAAAGTTTCTCCTGTCCTGCCATCCCCCAGGCTTATGTGTGGCAGGAATGATTGAGTGGCAATGAGAATTTGAGATTCTGCACCTAATGTGCTACTGATTGACGATCTTTACCTGAATATGGTCAGCAGAAATTGCATTTATGCTGTCTCCATATTCTTTTGAAGCATATAGCTTCAAACAACTGAACCTTTCTTTTCAATACTTCTATTTATACTAGATGCCCCCCAAAAACATTATTTTGGAAAGTTCCCCATTTATGACACATGCTGTAGTGTTAACATTGGTCAGCAATACTTGCAAACAAGCTCTAGTAAAGGCTAGTTTTACTTATTTATACAATTTCATTCCTGACGTTACATCATAACTAGTAGTCCGAATTATTCTGACGTTTTATCAACTCTTTTTTATATCTGTCTGTCGTCATTTAACGTTAGAACTCCGGTACTCTAAAATATGCAGGAAATAAGAGACCAGCACCCGGGTCGCACTTCAAACTGATATTTTAGAAACAAATCGTCACTTTCAGGCACATGGATCGAAAGATCTATTCTTTATGCACAAGATGAACATAAATTACATGCTTCAAACAACCAACACAATCACTAAAAACATATTTTTTCAAACTTACTCTGTTTTACTCTAGTTTTTTGATAGCCACATGACTAAAATCTATGTCATAACGTTGGGAAATACCTTCGGTAACGCTAGATCTCAAGTCATGTGACATTGCTCATGCCCTAATTTCCATTAAAAACATGGGTTGGTATAGAAAACGTTGGAAAATACTGTTCGTAATGATCTTTGAAACATGTTATTGATACCACCTAGTGCATAAAGAATAGATCTTTCGATCCTTGTGCCACATGCGTATGAAAGTGACGATTTGTTTCTAAAATATCAGTTTAAAGTGCGACCCGGGCGTGGGTCGCTTATTTCCTGCATATTATGGAGGGCCGGAGTTCTGACGTTAATCGACGACAGACCGATATAAAAAAGTCGATAAAACGTCAGAATAATTCGGACTACATAACTAGTAACTACATAATACCGTACTAGGAGAAAGAGAAATGCACGGACAGACGGGGGTTTGAACCAGGGACCCTCCCAACTCTAGACAGAGGCTCTACCAATTGAGCTACCTGGTCGTAATAATAATAATAACAATTTGAGGTTCTTATTCTCAAAGCGGTTCACAAATTATTATCCCTGGTTATAGGGCCTTTGCAACCAACCAATATCTTTCTCAACTCCCTGGGGAGCATACAGCCAGTGCTGCCATTTCGGCGCTCACAGCTAGCATTCAACATTTCTAGTACTGCCCAACCACATACTCATTTACAGCTGAGTAGACTGGAACAAGTGGAGTAAAGTATCTTGCTCAAAGATAAACCACAGTGCCATGCCTCAAACCAACAACCCTGGGTCACAAGCCCGGTGTCCTACCACTGGACTACCATGCCTCCTATCGTCAACGATCGACTCTGTCTAGTTCCATTAGAATATAATGATAGTACAAGTGGTCCAAAGCAAGAAAATAATTTTGTCACATATAGGAATATGAAACAAAGATGTAAAAACAAATTGGGTACATTACAACTATTTTTATACAAAAACAAAGATAACTTGACTACTGAATTGTAATAAATAGTGTAATTTAATTGAAAATATAGTACATGCCACATGTAATGATTTATTTGCATTTTCTTTTTCAGATTAAAATCCAAGATGGGGGGGTTTCTATCCAAGATCTTCGGCAATAAAGAAATGAGGATATTGATGCTGGGCCTAGATGCAGCAGGAAAAACTAGTATCCTTTATGATATTACAAAGTTACCTGGTGATTTGGTGATGACTTTTTTTTCTTCTGACAAATCAAAGTTTTTAAATTCAATCTATTATTTCTTTGATCTTTTCTTTCTATGACAAGTTCCAGTCAATTATTTCAGTCCCATGTTGATATGAAGTGTAAATGCCAATGTTTATTCTAAAGATATCAATTAAGAAATGTTTGATACACTGTATTTTGATAATTTTGTTTGCCACAAATTTAGTACTCGATTTATTTGTGTTTGTTTGTCTGGGTGTGATGTGTTGTCATCCTTAACCGGTTTCCAGCTGTTTTATATAAAATCAAATTAGGTCAGAATGTTACAACTATACCAACAGTGGGCTTTAACGTGGAGACTGTGACGTATAAAAATGTCAAGTTCTCTGTATGGGTAGGTGCTTTTGGTTTGTCACAAAAAATTTGTACTAATATCACATGTTTACATGAAAATAATACCCACAATACATTGATTATCAAGTGGTAATCTACTAAAAATGATGAAACATCACACTTCATGAATTTTGTTTCTTTATCATTTATCTATTAATTTTAAACCACTAATGATACAGGTGAAGGCCTAGGAGAGCAAAGGATTACTCTGCATATATGTATACATGATACGCATGTTTGTATTTTTGAGTGCCTGCTGCACAAAAGTTTTGTCGCTTACTACTGTCTGGGAGTGAAAGGTGACAGAAATGGAGCGAGTGTGCAGATGGAAGCTTGCTCAAAGCGTTCTTATAATGTCTGCAATATTTTCTAAATAATTTTACCATTATGTTTACGACAAAAGCTTTTCATCTTTGCCCTTGTACAGCATAAAAACTAAATCTGTTCACATACCTTGACTAAATGATTAATTGGACAACAAAAAATGAATATGCAGATATCTTACTTGACCTCAAAGGAAATAGTCTGAAGCATTTGAATTGGAACAGTACTAAAAAGTGTCAAAGCAATATTTACATACTAGAAAAAAATGCTGAGTTACCAAAACGAGATTTTTTTCTATGTTGAGTCCCCATAAGTTCCCGAATTGAAAGATGTTATTAAGTATGGTTTGTATGTTGGGTTCAATAGACAAAACATCTTGAATCTTACAGTAACAGTGGCTGGGAAGAGAAATTATTATGTATGAGTTGACATCATTTAATTCAGTTTGAATACATCGAAAACACTGGATAGGGCCTAGTACATCGAAGAGAAAATTAAAGCACATGTGTTGGATCACCACTCCTACCGATCACCCGTAAAATGGCCTGCACTCTCTATAACAGATTGAGAAACCGTCGTGCAGCAGATTACGATCACTATCAAAAACTTAATGGCATGCTATTTAATCTGTGGTTCAAGATTGTGCACCAGGGCGAGAACTGCAGGTTAAACTTTTAGCAAACTATACAGTCTTATTCTCTTTTGTGCTATTTATAGAAAATTGATGGCCCTTCCCATAAAAAGTGTCCAATATGTAGTACAATGTTCAGTATTCCAGTGTTCACTGTTCAGTAGCTTCATAAAACTTAAGTATCTGCAGATTTGATTAGAACCTAGAATGTTTGAACAGTAGAGTTCAGAAAAAATGACTTAAAACCTTTTTATTACCTATCTATTCTTAATGCCGTGCCCGCACTTGAATGTCTTTAGACATGTATCGAGTTATATCTGAGTGTAATGTATTGTCATCCTTAACCGGTTTCCAGCTGTTTTATATAAATTAAAATTAGATACGAATGTTACAACTATACCAACAGTGGGGTTTAACGTGGAGACTGTAACGTATAAAAAGGTCAAATTCTGTGTATGGGTAAGTATTGCTGGTTGTTGTAGGGCTGACAGTGTGTCCTGTGATAAAAAAAATGTACTTTTAAAAGTTTTGATATGAAAATACTGTCATATATATCTGTTATAACAAAGCATTTATCTACAGAAAATCACACATCCATAAGTATAATAGGCCACCTGAGACTCACTATTGCGATTATCTCTCTATAAACAATCCATATTTTCGACTTCTCAAAAATGGATGAACAGGCGGAAACATGTTTGAAACATCGGATTCAGAGAATTGCTAAGTTGGATGATTAATTCCCATGTCAATTGTCATAAAAGAAATTTAATATTTATTATAAAAAAGCTTGACAGCCATTGCTTCAGAATACAAACCATGATGAAGAACTTAAATCCTGATTTAATCAAGAAAAGCTTGGGAGTTATTGCTTCATTTAACAGTTATTGCATTTAACATTTTGCACAATTTATTGTATTTACAGAATGCAAAATTACCACACCAAAACAGACAATTTTATTGGTCTGCATTTTCGCATTGAGCAAATTTTGTATTCAGAAACAGATTATATCTGATATGAAATATCAATCTAGCAAACAAACAAAAATCCTAATAAGAATCTGCCAGGATCACAACCCTGACCAAACATTGTGTGTAGCAGATGAGTGGTGTGTACCGGGCCCTTTGGACCCCTTGTTTATATTTTAAATTCTTTTATCAGTAATGATGTTATACAGCACTGTTTAATTTAAATCAAAGATATCAACAGATCAAAACAAAAAGATAATATCCTCCTTCTTTATGGTCTCTTTTAGTTCAAAACGTTTTGAACGATTGTTTAACTGACATGGAACAGCCAACAATACTTTTAAAAAACTGATTTGGAACAGCCATTTTTGCAAGAACAAAATCCTGATTACTATTATTACCAGTTCCGTCGGTCAGCCAACGTCAATCGGTAAACCATTCAAGAATTTCTGTCATAATTTTAATTTGACATCATTTCATGATTTGTCCCTGTCCAATTTCTTGAACATTTTGAAGGAAAGCCCGAGTAGCTCTTGCTCTTATTTGATAACAACATTTTTAGGTCACCTGAGCAAAGGGATTTCATTGATACCTAATGGGAATGTTACTGACAAATCCCTGACAAAGTGTTGTTATTTTTCGGATCGATCAGACATCCAATATGGCCACCAAGGCTGCCATTTTGAAAAACTATTTCAAACTTTAAAGTCAAGATCTAATGGGCTGATTTAACTGAAACTTGGTAGGAATGATAAACTCATGGTCCTGACAAAGTGTTATTATTTTTCGGGTCGATCAGAAATCCAATATGGCCGCCATGGCAGCCATTTTGAAAAACTATTGCAAAACTAAAAGTCAAGTTCAACTGGGCCTATTTAACTGAAACTTAGTAGGAATGATCGACTCATATTCCTGACAAAGTGTTGTTATTTTTTGGGTCGATCAGAAATCCAATATGGCCGCCAGGGCCGGCAATTTTGAAAAACTATTTCAAACTTAAAGTTAAGTTTTGCTGGGCCGATTTAACTGAAACAAGGTAAGAATGATCATCTTATGGTCCTGACCAAAGTGTTTTTTTCAGGTCCTTCAAAAATCCAATATGGCTGCCATTTTGGAAAAAAAATATTTAAAACTTACAAATCAAGTTCTAATAGGCCGTATTAACTAAAACTCGGTCTAGGAATGGTCAACTCATTGTCCTGACAAACTTAACTTAAAGTTATACGTAACTTTTTTTTACTCGAATTTTGTTAGGGACGATTGACATTATTATCTCCACTTCATATTTCAACAACAAAAACTAATACCATAGGACTCAGGTGACCGTTAAGGCCCATGGGCCTCTTGTTGGTTGGTAGTATAGGTTTATCTAGGAAGAAGTGTGTGAAGGGAATACACTGTTAATATAAAAAAAAATGGTGGCTAATCTGTACAACTTGGCATTCATGAGTAAACTGAAGCTTAAATATTAGACCCGGGAGATAACAGATACATAAATGATTAATGCAAAGCCATGCAGCAGCTGAATACATTGAACAGCGAGGGACACTGCTTGTAATTCAGTCAGTGGTAATATAAAGTAAAGGACTAGCAAACCTGGGTTAATGTATTACCTACGTAATTGTGTGTCATTGTACTCGCTCGGATGGAACAGATTAAGTGTGGAATGATACATGAGCAACATTAGTTTAAATCCTTTGCAGATGTTAATAGCTCTAGCCGAGACTTAAAACAGGACAGAAATAATGTATACACAATAGGCAGAATTTCTGACCATTTCTTCCTACATGTACAAGTTTGATGCCTCATACATAGATGTCATGAAGTGCATGATGCACACTTTTAAATTTTTCATCATACTGTATTTATAATTGAATTACATAATTTATAAATGTGATGGAGATGGATCCTGTTTATCTCATTCACCCCTGACATTTTATAATAGTGAACCGTTCAAACCTATGAATTGGAAGAATCCAAATGTGTCATCAGGGGTGAATGAGTTATCAGAATATATGTAGGTGGTTATCTTCATTCACTTGTAAAATTGATGTTTGGTATACATCCTTATGTATGAACATTGATACCGGCCTTTTATACTCAGTGCTTGAGTGTAGTGTAAATACGTATTATAAACACACAGACTGTGACATGAATCAAGGACCGGTATTTGTACACGTACATGATTCAGCCCTTCTTAAGTAGATGTACAAGTGTTATACAGTGTGTGCTTTGTAAACTTCACAATTTCGTGTTGTAGTCCGTGTTATCCACATAGCACATTGTTTTTTTTGTACGATAAAAATAGTACTTAAAAAAATAGTCCAGTTACATTCATATCTCCCGACTAAAACTTCTACAACCTTTGATCATCAGAAAAAATGTTGCTGTTATCATACATTTATAACAAACATCAGACCTTGTTGATTAAGTCTTCATACAATTAGGAACAAAGATAATTTAATTACCTTTCCGCTTTATGATAGCCCTGTAATCTAGCTAACTGTCACTTTCATAGCAGACATTTTGAGGAATAGAATATTTTCATTTTGATTCAACTTATTATTCTATTGTGACATACTCTAGATGGATAGAAATCAATGCACAAATATTGTACATTTTTTTTTTTTTTTTTCCAGACTTTTGGAATTGGGTATATAAGAAATGATGCATGAAATAATGATCTTATGATATGCAGAAAACATCACAACTGTCTTGATCAGCCATATGCATGATGTACTAATGTGTTAGCCATGTATGTCATGTTTGCTTTCGCGATTCATTGACATGACTCAACCAACATCATTTCCTCACAAACTTTCTGCAAAGTGGGAAGTCACTTATGAGAAAACCTCAAAGTATTTCAGGGTTTGAAGCTCAAGGTCAACATCTAGGTCACTTTTGATAAATAGGTCACTCGACCATTGCTGTTTTATCAACAGCTTCATTGTCATCAGTCTGCCAACTAAAGGGGCAAGGGGCATGCATGCATGTCTTACAGATGTTTTCTAGTTTGGAATAGGAAAAAATAAAGTTGTAAAATAGTAGGTTATTTGTAAATTGGCAATATTTTTGCAGTGTTTTTTTTTTTCACAAATTTATAAATTCCTCAGTATTTTCGGAAATTTTAAATATATCTTCACATTACTGTTATTTAATTGCATATTTCTTAGAAGCTCTTTCAATAACGTGTATCTTATATATATATCAGTCTTTGCCAATTTATAGTGTCAAGCTAATAGGTCCTGACCGGTAAGATTTCATTCACTCCCGTTAAGTATTTGTTTTGATCTTGTATAATTTGCCTGACTACATTGAAGGCCAAACTTCAAAGTGTGACCATAATTAAATGAAAGTTTTCTAGTTCTCCACAATAAGATGTTTTCTGTTGGTTGGGGAATAATTTCAGTGCAATAGCCCTTGCATAGAAAACGAACCTGGAACAGTTATGAGAGTGGTATGACACTGGTTCAAATGTTCAGTTCCTCAAATAATACTTTCTTATTTTTCCTTTGACAGGATGTGGGAGGTCAAGACAAGATCCGACCGTTATGGCGTCATTACTATGCCGGTTCCCAGGGACTCATATTTGTAGTGGACTGTGCCGATCGCGACAGAGTGGACGAGGCTCGCCAGGAACTGCACAAGATCATTAATGACCGGGAGATGAAGGAGGCTATAATATTAGTATTTGCTAATAAACAAGATTTACCTGATGGTTAGTATTTGAGAACCCTGTTTGATCTTGTTTTGTGAAGTATCTTATTCAGCATCTTTCTAATTTCAAAGAAGCAGTTTTAAAATATATAAGATAATTTTGATTGGTAATGCAATGTTCGCATTGTTTCATTGGTAAAATATCATAAATGTCAAAAGAAATGTCATATCCATCAGAAAAACCCTTGCAACTGAGTTTTAATTGAAATACAAAATATTTAGATTATCAAAAATGTGTTATAAAGGTTTATTAATTTTCCAAACAATGAAACTTCAAAAATTTGTGAAATATATGAAATTAAAAAGTCATTTGCTGTACAAAGAATGTCTGTTTTGATTTTGTTAGCAATGAAACCACATGAAGTACAAGAAAAGCTAGGACTAACGAGGATGCGAGACAGGAACTGGTATGTTCAGCCTGCGTGTGCCACCACCGGTGAAGGACTGTTTGAAGGGTTTACGTGGCTCATGTCAAACAACAAGTCGTGACCTGTGTTGCCTCCGAAGGAAACATTTTTAATACAAAAATGCTTTTATTACGATATTCATGAAAAGGAGATATGAGCTGTGTGGTGTATGCTTTGCCAATAGAAGCTAATAAAGAAGTGGCGTATCTTCTCGGCAAACAGGATTAAGGATGCATGCGGTGGACACATCATGTGACGTGGAGGTGTTAATTGACCACAAGACTTTGTAAACATCCGAGGGAATGAGAGGTGCACAATGTACATCCTTGTTGTAGCTCAAGGTGATCTGACGAGTGCTTTCACCCTAAACAATAAGGACGAACTACTGTAACTGTATTGTACTCCATTCATATGAACATATATACATACAAGTGTTTTTCTACCTTTCAGTTCATGAGAACTGGCACACTTTGATGAATGTGGCTGACTGTTACCTCTAGTAGCGATGCTTGCACATGAAAGAGAATGTGTGTATGAGAGAAAGAGAGAGAGGGAGTGAGAGAAAGAGCAGGAGGAGTATATATTTTGCATTGTCGTTTAGAGGGTGATCAGATTTTTTTTACCAGTCTTTTTGTTAATGTGGGTTTATTTTATTGTTATTTTAAGAGAGTTTCCAAAAGGAAATACATGCTTTTGTTGAGAGTTATATATACCGGTACCTCCCATGCCTGATACAAGGCACCAGAAAGTTGAGCAACTGAATACTGGCAGTCCAGCACTGGTTCAGTCTTGTCCATCCTTGTACTGATCATAAAAAGCCACAGTATAGCCCACTTGGGTATTAAAAGCAAAAAGATATAAAGTATGTTTTCCCCTATTAACCTATTAAAGCATAGGTTAATTATATAGACAGACATCTGCTGTTGTTATCATCTGATGTAAAAAAAAAATAAAAAAAAATCACTTGTTAGTTAAGTTCTGATCAGACCTGGTATAAGTACTAGTTCTTTGAGAATTTTCAGAGATATGTCTGGAAAAAAGTCTTGGCTATCAAAATAAACAGAAAACTTTTAAGGAAAGAAAATGCTTAAAATAGCTCTTTTCTTGTGGTATTGGTACATGTATCTATCTGCATCCAAAGTGCTGATCACGGAGTAAATGCAAGAGATCTTGGTTTGTTCTGTTAATTTTTTTTTGCATCCCTGTCACATTTGTTAATCATTTCTACTGTGGCAATTAGGTTGCTCTTGGTAAGGGGGAAATTGTGTTCCAGGCTTCGAGATTAACATGTAATCTTGGTGCTTACTCTTGTGTACCTGTTGTATTTGATATATTGAGTTATCAAACCAGTAATTCAGAGATCTTGGCTTGTGTGGAGTCGTGTCTTCTGTGTTGAAACAATGCTTCGATGATACAATGTACATATTAACTGTTATAAAGATTAAGGATTGTATTGTATAAAACCTGTAGTTCATAAAACCTAGGAAACCATTTGTTCTGTTACTTTAACCTTTTTGTAAAGTTTAGATATAGGTAGTACTTGTGTATGTCACATTAAGTCTTTCATTTTCATTAATGCTTTCTCAAAATGTGTAAATGTTGGCCTTGTGATTGTTTTGGTTTAATTGAAGTGACCTCTCCCAATTAAATCTTTTTTATTTGGTGATTTCAAAAGCTATAATGCCCTCTAAAATGTTGATGCCGTTTTCTGATGCCATCTTGCAACATTTCAGGTGTCAGCCAATTGGCTGTGTTTAAGATTTGGCATTGCAATCATGATCTTATTTAGTTCTTTCAAATGATTGCAACTAAACCAACATGGTTGGTGACTATTCACTTTTGTTCTGGGAGACCCTTTTTTTCTGATGTTTTGGAATTTTTCTAAATTATTCATATTTATATGCTATTAATCGTCTTACTTCAAGGTTCCCGTCTAAAAACTCAAAATGATATAAACTTAATGGAACAAATGTGAAATACAAATACATGTACTGAGGATTTTTTTATTTTTTTTTTGCTTTGATTCATACTAACATCTTCTTATTTAATGCTTACCAAATTTTGAACAACTTCACATTTACCTAGATATAATTTATCCTGCTTGTGTTCTTGAAAGTTATATGTAAAATCCCTGTCCTTGTATTTTGAGAATCTTTTCCTAACCAGCTAAAAACCTGAATCTAGAGTAGAATCTTGTAATCCTGTTTTGAGTGAACTGAATTAACCAAGTACAGTACATTTTATAGTCGTAAACAGTTTCTTACAGTATGGTTTATACCATTACTCAGAGTTGTATTATATCCCATGATAAATTTACTGTGAATGACACCTATAAATCTGGACAAGCATGGCTTGTATCAGGATTTACAATTAAATTTAAATCTTTGCAGGATTTAAAAATAACTGAATTAGAAAAAACAAAAATCGAAAGAAAATACTCAAAATTTAAATCATGGAAGAAACTGTTTGGTATTTTCAGCTTGTCAAGTTTACTATAGACACTTGTGGGTCTTTAACTCGTTCACCCCTGAAATTTCATAATGCACTATTCCAACCTTTGAATTGGAAGAGTTCAAATGTGTCTTCAGGGGTGAATGAGTTCACTATGTTTACGTTTGCTTTATAAACATTAACGAGTACATGTCATTTTATCTGTTTATGTTAATCATGATCTACCCAGTACACTGGTTTGTTGTTTGTGTGTAAACATTTGTTGGTGTTACATTTTAGTGCAATTTTCATTCTGATCGGATGTAGTACCTTAGATATTTAGTCAGTCTGGTAAATAATACTGATTTGCATCTGGTAGCCTGTAAACACTGATCACACATGATGATTTTTTTTACTGGAGACCTTTGACTTAAGCTTCTAGACAGTAAACCACATTACCACAGAGCTAGTCGTAAAATAATATGAACTAAATAACAACGTCCTGGAAATAAACATTTGAGAAGGCTATCGGAACAACATTCCTCTGTCTAGTGCACCTGTATGCTGGAGTTTTACTATTTGAATTATAATAAATGGCTAATACTGAAATGGCAGCTTGCGTTAGTACTGATTTTCATTAACTCATTCACCCCTGAAGACACATTTGAACTCTTCTAATTCAAAGGTTGGAGTAGTTCATTTTGAAATTGCAGGGGTGAATAAGTTAATAAATGTTTTTTTTGGATTTTAAGAAAAAAAACGTTATTTAGTTAAATTATATTGATAAACTCCATTAAGCTTTCATGTAATACCGTAACTTAAGTTGTGTTCCCGGGCAATATTACCATGCAAAATTAATTCGAGAACAGGATACGCTATATCTTTTATGATTTTCTGATGGTTCATCCAAAGTGCCTTTGGACCGCAAGAAGGAAAATGAACAGGTTTTAAAAATGAGATTTTAAATGGTTTTCTTATTTCTGTGTTTAAGAAAATGCTAGGCATATGGGATATTAAAGAGTGCTTCTGTAATATATTTTTTTTCCTTTATTTAATTTATTTATGTGCATATTACACTGTTTTTCGGATGAAGTACAGACTTTGTATATGGTGGGGAACTCATGATCTAGTCATAGTTCTGTCAGAGTAAAAAAGGGAAAGCCTGCAATGAACATACATGTGTTTTCTTAGTTATGCATGTGTGCGATGTGTCCGATTTAAACATGTCCTTTAGTGTGAGTTACAGGGCCCACTTGTCTTAAACATCTCAAAGTTAAGGAAAATCTCAATTGTGTATGGGAAATCTTAGACTTGAGGAAATCTCAAGAGTTGAGATGTTTTATACAAGTGGGCCCTGGTCATTCCTTTGACTTTCACTGTTGTTGAAAGTTGTTGCTTTTCCGTCTTGTCAATATTCTCCAAATTTTCTGATTTTTTTTTCCAATGTTAAATGTACATGAGGAATGTATGATTTTGAAATGCTTAACCTCTTGCACTGATATGTGTGTATAATATAGTTAAGTTTATATAGGTCTTACACAATTACAATGTTACTTGTTGCCGGCACTTAGCATTGGTATCTGTGTTAAAAATTGTGTTTTAATTTTTCAAGTGATTCATTATTGTTTTAGAATAAATTGCCTATGATGTGTATAAAATTTACTTGAGATTGGTCTACTAGGATGCCAGTATGATTTCAGCAAACCCAAGATATGCGTGTTATGATTCCATTAAATCCTTCATTTGAATATTGAAGGTATAGTATGATTCAATTAAAAAATCCTCGACATTTGAATATCGAAGGTATTAAATTATTTTATGATAAAAGAAATGTTCACCAAATTTAGAAGAAAATTTTATGATAAAGGAAATGTTCACCAAATTTAGAAGAAGAAAAAGTCACCGATAATATTTACGTATTGTTTGTAAGTAATCAACACTGCATTACAATTTTGCATGCTTTCAATGAATATAGGTTAAAATGTATTTGCCCCATACTACAACCCTGTATGTCACCAGTATTTTGTGTAATCATCATGTGTACGTGATTATGTTATTCTTGTATGAAGTCATATGTATTGTCTCAAAATAATCCACATGATCATTATCTGGATTTGAATTATTGTAAGTGATTGATGGAAAATGGTTATAAGTTTTTCCTGTCCTGATGCTAAAGACTAGAATCGTGATTTAAAGTTAACCACCTCTACAGAATTAAATACATGAATGACTTTTTAGCATTGGAGCCGTGTTACACTTTGAAATATTTTTTATGTGCCATTAACATGTTATGACATATACAGGTATTTAGGATTGTAATCAACAGTACAGCTATTTAAATTTTTATTTTCCTTCGTTGAATATTATATTTCTGTTGCAGTGTGTATATACCATATATCTAAATGAACACTGAACTTTGTAGCCAGTATGGAGTCGATACGGTGTATCCCTACAATAGTCAACACTTAGGTCAGACACACACAAAAACTGTTGTGTATCCAAACTTTCCTTTATAGATAATTTATACTGTATTTTTTCCAAGGTTTGAAAGAGTATTTCCTACAGTCAAAGGTGTGATTTTTCTTTTCACAAAAATAACTTGTTTATTCTATGTTTTCAAAATGGCAAATGGGTAAAAATATAAAGTGACTTCTGTCAATATTTTTCTGCCAGGACTGCAGGAATTAACTATAGCAGACAATTTTAATGCAGCACTTTCTCGCAACACTATACCTCTTGTGATGTTGCCAAAATTAATTCTCCTTTGAACAGATGGCGCAAGTGCTGCTCTTACCATATATTGTTGATGTGGTCTGCAATAGGGTTTAAATCTTTTAAAAATTCGTCTGGATAAAATCTTGCATACAATTTTTTTAGGGAGGATCATCAATGTATTAAAAGCAAATAGACTAAATTATACTATAATACACAATATTGAGATATTGCTGAGCATATTGCTGTTTAATGTAACGTTATTGGTATCTGGTCTGTAGACCATCTATTCTGTCTTTGGTAATAAACGTTAAAATGGAATTAACTTTCTTTACAAATATTCAAACTATATGAGCTGTTCTTAATCTTTTAACACATTCACCCCTGAAAACACATTTGAGCTCTTCCAATTCAAAAGGTTGGAATAGTTCATTATGAAATTTCAGGGGGGAATGAGTTAAGGCCCTTTCCCTTGAGAGTAATTCTGTAGTATATGTAGAGGAATGATTCCCTAGGGAAAGACATGATATGAAAGAACTAGTCAATGTGATATTAGACATTTCCTGGGCCGTTTTCGTTCAAACAGTTGAACCAGTCGGACCACAGTTGTTCGTTTATTAAATAAGGTTGGACCTAGTAATCTGATGCTGCTTTCAGGCAAGCCTTGGCAAAGCCTTGCAAGGCCTGCATAATCATTTGCCAGTCTGCCAGGATGTATACCTGAAATTGTTACATTTAAAAACGGACAAACCGGTTGTTAGGCATAAACGAACAGGCCCCTGGTTAATCCTTTTGAAATAGTAGGGGATTACCTTTTGAAATAGGAATAGTTCATTATGAAATTACTAAGTTGAGGGTTCTCTTACATTAGTAATACAGTTGTTGTTTTGGTGGTTTTTTTCAAAGCATGAACCTAGTCTGTTTGAGAAATAATTTTGGCACAGTTGCATCGTGTTGAAACGTGAACGTGATGGTATCTGTCAAAATGACTGTAAACCATCTATCATTCACGGTGTATCATGATCGGTACTCTGTCTCTTCTGAATTTCATTTACATTATGCTCCTACTTTATTTGATAATAGACAATATTTTACCTCAGAATCAACCTTTCTATTATAACATGTGTGATAGTCGCTGGCATTGGGGTACATCATTTCAGATAATCATGTTACTATTTGCTATGGGTGGGGGAGGGTTCATCCCTCAAGATCCAAAAGTGAAAAAATAAATGAATAAGAAAATGTTAGTACAAAATTGTATCTTTCTTAAGATGGTGTCAAATGGATATTGCGGAATTGAAATGTAACATGTTTTGTTTTCGTCATCGTATGTTGATTCACATTTCTTTAAAGATAATTGTGTAATGCCTACGATATCATAGAAGCAAGTGAAGAGAGACTTGCAACCAATGGAGAACACTGCTAGAAACATTGACAAATCATCTAAGACATGACCTGAATATTTTGCTGGAGATCATTATCAGAATCATATACATGTATGTTAATTACAGTACTTGTTCATGCAGAATTTGAGAGAATAAAAGCGAAAGTTTGAAGTCGGAAAATGCAGCTTCAATAAACGTCGATGACTTTCCTTCATTGTGTTGAATTTATCTAGGCATCACAAGCCAAGGAAAAGGAAAACCATTGCATTTTCATTTTAATTATATTTAGGAATTTTATTGATAGTTTACGGTACTAAGAAATGGTGTTTATTCTAAAACATTTGATGTACGCTGTGTACAACCTTTTGTAGTTTCCATTTATTTTCATTACGAAACATTCCACATCGCTTTCTTCCTATCCCTGCTGGAGTTACTTCCCCTTTGCTTGCATGTTGATCAGGTCATTTCAACTTCTGTTATGTTAAAAACCAATGGAACAGTCTGTCTGTTTTTATGTATGATTGGTTTAGCTTGCCTGCATTAGGAAGTTTTCTTCACAACTAGTGTAGAGTCATACTTTCTCAGTTACAAAATAGTGAATCTTTGCCTACATGGATCATAATGGTTAAGTGCACATGAGAAATCTTAATGTATATAGCCTCACAATTATTATGCAAATACAGAATACTTGATACAAATAAAGGAAACATGTAAGAATATGTTCATTGAATAAAAACATACATTTTATTACAAGAGCTGTTTTCTGTTTTTAATGCTAATATAAATGGCAGTGTAAGATCAGTTATGCTCATAGTTCTTTGTGTCCTCCATACCTTACTTGGTTGATCACCCAAATTCAAGCTGCCACAGTGTGTACTGCTGCCAGTGCGTTTTCACAGACAAGTGTGGGCGGCTAAGTGAAAGTTATTGCCGGAGGATATAGGCTGCATGTGTATTACCAAACTATTTGCCTCCATCATCAAATGGCGGGTTATTCAAATCACATTTCGACCGTGGTCCAACAGTAAACAATTTGTTGTTGCCATGTCTCGGAAACTATTAATGGGATCATACAAGAAAAATAGAATGTTTAAAATCATTCAACCCTAGTTGTGCATACTCCAGTTTGATATGGAATGGGGATGAAGAAATGTCCTCCAGGCAGCCACCTTAGATTTTGCTTGTCAAGTTTGTTGGGAGCTACTGAAGAAAGTGCGAAACAGAATCCAGAATTGACACTAGGTTATCTTGAATTTAGTTATGACATATTACATGAAGTTCATTAATACTATCTGCAGTAAGTATCTAAACACTAAAATGGGAAAAATCAGTCCTGTTAACCAATGGCAATTATGGTGCGGAACATGTAACGAAGTGGTAAATGGCACAGGAAGTTGGATAAAACCTACACAAAAACTTTGTATTTAACGAAACCTCCTCCTAATCTGAGGACTCCTTCAAGATATCCTCACTCCAACAAGTGTCATATGATTATTTAATTTCACAGTTCATATGTTTAAATGTATTGCATCCATAAAAAAAAGTTTTTTTCTGGTTCATTTAGTATTGATTAGCTTTCAAATTTGGTTCGCAAAGTATTGATTGGCTTTCAAATTTCACAAAGTTTATTTAATTAAAGGAAAATAATGGTTGTTTGAATTGGATTCCACCTATAAATACTAAGAACTTTCTAAGGCCTTCCATTTTGGCCTGGAAGTGAAGTTCCTCCATCATTCAGAGGTCTAGTTATGATGTGTCACAGGCCTGCCATTGTGGATGCAATAGCATGGAGACTTGTAAACCAGTATGGAAACTATAACCTGAAGTTTTTGAAGCTTTAACCCATTCACCCGTGAAGACACATTTGAACTCTTCCAATTCAAAGGTTGGAATAGTTCATTATGAAATTTCAGGGGTGAACGAGTTAAATGTAATATTGCACATAATTTTAAAGTTTGGTGAAAACACCGCAGAACTAAGGACCATAAGCTGTTACCATGGATTGACAGATGCGCACATAGAAAACACAGATATAATTTATTCTCCACCCCCCCACCCCGAAGTTAAAGTGCTGGAAAAAAACAGATAGATATAGCTGCCTTTACTTGAATATGTTGCAGAGTAACCCAAAGTCAAAAATGATACTCTTCCAAAAGTGCAACATCCATCTGTTCAAGCACTACCATCTCCAAGGAAATCAACGTATCCATAATATTTCTGTAGCCGAGCTGGACTGGGTCAATCGTCGGTGACCAGAAAGCTCAACTGGTAGAGCGTTCGTCTCGAGTTTGGAAAGTCGCTGGTTCGAACCACGGTCTGGCTGTACATTTTTCCTCTCCTGTTACAGTGGTGCCTATGACCAACCCTTGTTTGAAGCATTTAGTGTATGCTTGGCAAGTGGATATCCGAACCTGGGTTGCAAATAGTTGTGTCTTTGGGGGCAAAGACTTGGAAAAAGGAGGGAGGAATGTAGCATGTATAACATTTCAATATTATAATAGTAACTTTGACCCAGACCTTTGAACTATCTCCAAACTCATAGGGATCATCCTCTTCCCAAGATACACCAGCAAACCAAGCTTGGTTTAGATCTAATGTTATGTTCAAGACATAACATCTGGAAACCAAGGCCGTGTTTATTTAAACGGTTGAACCACAGTTGTTCGTTTATTAAATAAGGTCGGACCTAGTTATCTGAAGCTGCTTTCAGGCGAGCCTTGACAGAGCCTTGCAAGGCCTCCATAAACTTTTGCAGGTCCGCCAACATTTATATCCGAAATTTGTTACATTTACAAACGGACACACTAGTTGTTCCACATAAATGAACAGGCCCCAATACTTTCTGAAAATTTCAGTCTATTTATTGGCACTTTGACCTCAAATTCAAATGCTTTTTTCTACCTTCTTCCCTCCCTCATGAGGCATCATTCACCCAAACTTGGTTAACATAGGTATTAACTTTCCAAAGTTGTTATAGGGAAACCATTTTTTTTTTCAGCAATGCTGAAAAAGTGATGACTTGCTACAATGCTCCCAAATGTGGATCATGAAATGGTTTTATGATGTCGTGTAAGGTTTCGAACAATAAATGAACTAGGTTTTCCTTTTTCTATGGTTTTATTATTGTACTAAAACAAATATACATTATCTACTATAAAACATGCAAGTTAAAGAATGATGCAGTTTACTCAACAAAATACATGTATTTTCGCCTAGAAAGCAAATGAATGGAAACTACGTATATATTTCAGATAGAGGTATGTTTAATAATAGAATTTGTTCTAAATCTTGATATTAAAATAGTGTTTGTCTAGTTAAGGTACATGTACTATTTTGAAACATTAACATGAGAGACACTACTTGGATTAATTACGTTCTGAAATATATATTTAAATCCCCTATGACGCTGAAAGAAACATCTCAACAGTGTATTTTTGAGTTTGATTCGACCTATTTACGTCCACTGCAGAAACACATAACCTCCATTCTGTCACTTTGCAAAATTTGAGAGTCCGAAAAATGTTTAAGATGAACTCCCCTAATGAACAAGATGAAGTACCAAAACAACAATTCACATTGAGGTTGGTACGATTTCAACACTCATGACTTGAACCATTACGTATCACACTGCATAACCTGTTCAGACATTGATTCACTTTGCTTTAACTCATTCACCCCTGAAATTTCATAATGAACTATTCCAACCTTTGAATTGGAAGAGTTCAAATGTGTCTTCAGGGGTGATTGAGTTAAAAACAATATAAATTTCAATGCCACGATTTATTCTTATTCTCCCTTCAAATGCTTAACACAGGTAATAAGTATTTTCCATTGGTACACAATTTTTAACACAGAAGGCATGTCATCAAAACTGAATTATAGCGAGATTTCGGTGAATCTATGTATATAAACGACAACAACTTCTATCCAATTTCAGCAGAATAATCTAAGGCATACGATGAGAATAAGAGAAAATTTTCATTATAAAACACTAACAGGACATCGAGATCTGAGCAGCACACATCCCACATCAGAAAGCATGCATGTATAGATTTTAATTTAAATTACCGTATCAAAAAACTACAGAAGTTGAAGATTGAAGTACAGCACAATCAATGTTTGAAAGGCCAAGACAGCCACAATAAATTAAGTGTTTCTAGACCATCCCATGTCTTTCATGTTCCCACAGTCTAACATAAGACATTGTACTTGTAACATAATGTAAAAAGGTGTGAGATGTATAAAAGAGTTGCTTTAAAATGTTTTTAACGAAAACTGTTGCACGATGCCCTTCTTCTACAGTTGCAGATCTTTTCATTTCTTGATTTGTGGAGTTCTTGAAACTAATGGATGATCAGCAATACTGGGAAATTCTGCAACAGAAAATATCATCATTACTACTCAATTCAAAGTCATGTAAACAATAAGACATCATACTAGCATCAAATTTAAGCATTGACTTGTAATGCTGAAACCTTTAATAAAAATATTATTAAACTTGAGAAACAAATAATGGTAAAAAAAGCGTTCTCATATTTTACTGAATTATGGATTACGGTATGATGGGTCAGGTATTGATATAAAGAAAAATTAAATATCTATACTGGCCTTACCTGTCCTACTCTGTTAGCAAATATTACAGATTTAGATTTGAAGTTGATGATTACCTGTACAGATAATTTACTAATTTTTGCTGCTTTTCTTATGAACCCTCTGAATGTTTTTCACAAATGAAATTACAAATCACAAGCCGACATTTATAATATATCAAACCATACCTAAATCACACTATTATGCAACTCTTCTGATCCCTGAAAGGATTCGCCGACTGTAGCACTCCATTCACCAAGCCATCCTCTACGGCATGATTACTGGTGTAATCCATGATTCTGGAAAAAAGAAGACAAAAAAAATAATTAAAATGTCAATTTGTAATCAAGCTGCAAGCATTTTTATCACTCTGATTCAGCATATTTAACAGTTACCATTGAGTTCTCATTAGGAGCTGTTACCAGCAAAAGTAGCTTGCTTTTTAATTCCCCACCTTTGAACAAGCAATTTTTTCAGAACATGTACGGGTCAGTCAACACTATTACAAAACTTATGTTTCGTACTGGTACAAGACATCATTCTAAATTTAAAATATAAGATATTAGCACATGGACTGACATTTCAACTTTGTAGTTATACATGTACTTTGAGTTTTGCATCCTTTGTGTTGCTGAATTATGTTTCAATATCATTCAGAATTATTCATCTTTACAAAGATCTAGAAGTACCATACCAATTAAAGCATCCTACTTTAGCTTATATGTGATGAATGACAAAAATTTAATCCAAGATGATCTTAAAATTTGTACATGTACTGTACTAGACTACTACTATTTGTTAATTTGTGCTCTTTTGGGGGAAAAAAAACCTTCAAAATATTTATTTTCATCTTAGTACATGGGCATCCTAAAATTTACGTACTATCTCTTCCTTCAATTTATTGATGAGATAAAAATATTCTTCCCATTTACAAAAAACAAACAGTGTGTTATAAATTAATCCAAAATCGTCGCACTGAAAATACAATAGGATAAATAGGATAAAATAATGAATGCAGGCAGACACTCTGCCTCTATATCCACATCTTAATATATTTTAGAAAATATTATTTGTTAATTGTCATTTCCTGAGATTTCTTTATGGCCGGCCAAATGATTGTATTTCAGTTCAAAAAATTTCCGAAGACTGAAGAGTATCAAGATTAAGTTCAAAGTCCTTAATCGTTGGCGATGTAATAATATATTCTGGGAGACTGCTCCAGATTTCGACAACTTAATTAGGCCTAAAGCTGAATATTTCCGAATATCATGAAAATGTATGGATTATCAAATTAAATTTAAAATGCATTACCTGCTGCATACTATCTGACGTTTATTATAAATATATTGGTACCATATCCCTGCAACTATCTCCCTTACGTTACCGCGCCCCTAAGTGCCATTCGGAGTTGATGAACAAAGCCCATCTTGCATGAATCATAATAATGAGCTGGCATTTTCCGATGCTAATAAGAAATATATATTCACTTATTGTTGAGCATATTTAAACATTAACTATCAAATGTCTATTAACCGAAAAAATAAAACAAATATAACATCAGCATTGACCGAACAGAATCAAAAGGCTATGTATATTATTAATATTAGATCGATACTGCACTGAATTCCTATCGTTTCCTGTCAATTTGAAATGGGCAGAGTTTCTCGCATTCATTATACACTTACTCTTCGATTGCTTGTGAAACTGGGATTCGTTGTACATTAGCTTCGAGACGAAGCTGTCCCAACTGCTTCTGCAAGCTCTGTACCTGACTGGACATTTTGAGATGGAAATATTTTGATAGTTACGACAAGAATTTCTCAGACGCAAAACAAAATGTCGCCGGTTTCTTCTCGTTTTCAATTATCGTTCAAAGCGAGAATATGCGGGATTCAAAATGGCCGCGCCCAGGAGTTCAGAAAATAAAGAAGGAAAGAGTAAAGATGTTCTCATCTCTAATGTCATAGATGCACAGAGAGTAAGGTAAAACGCAAGCATAAGTACATGTTGGGCACAACTCCAACACCATTACTTGAGTGGTTGCGTTGGAGTCCTGTTCAAGTACTGTAAATAGCCAAAGTCCGAAACGTCTAGGAGAGCTTGTTTTGCAATAATAACGGTAGTGTTACTGGAATGCTATTGCAACAACGTTAGAGGTTAAACACTGCGGCATAATAATTTCCGATAAAAACACCCGACCAATAGCTAATTGAGTTATAGGAGTATTGACGTGCTTGGTGCTCTAGGCTGTTACACTGACAAATTGTAGGAAAGTGATTAGACATCTTCTAAAAGATCAGTCGTGGCAGTTTGGCAATATCGAGGCATTGCAGGTTGCATCAAGCTAAAAGGGTCCGGGGTGATTTCAAGTCCCTTTTGACCCAGTTATAACTGAAAAAAATGTGATTTTCCCTTTTGAAATTCCCTGTTGGTAAAAAAAGATAAATAAATAATTAAATAGTATACGTAATAGACAGGTTTTTAAAAAGTTTAATTTAAAGTGAAATCATGATTTATTTTGTACAAGATATATATATATAGTTTGTCACTTCCATTTGCAACAATCAAAATCTAGAATGCTAGTCGTTTTGGTAACAAGTTGCTTCGGTAACAAGTCGTTTCGGGACAAACTTAAAAGTCGTTTCGGGACTTACTCAAGTCGTTTCGGGACATAAAAAAAATATAATCAAAATATAAATGAATGTTACATGTAACATTTCTTTTTCCTTATACAATATAAAAATGTATACCATATGTAACAAAGTTTGTAACAATAAATAATTATAAACAAATTAACACATAAATAAACAAAGGTAACAATATGATGTACATTTTTGTATAAAAATTGAAAGTAAATTATGGAAAGCATTAGCTACACAGGATTATTAATATGTGGTATGTGTACCCAGGACTTCGGACGTGGACCCTGCTTTCCTAAAGCCTCATTTTTTTTAATAATTTAAATATATATAATGCACAGAATTAAATACAGTTACAGAGAACAACAAGGTTATTACACTTGATTCACACCAAGAAACTATAATCAGTATTTATAAGTATACCAATCTATCCTTCAAACAAAGAAATCATTATAATTATCAAACTAATGTTCATTATATGATACACTTCAGCTAACTAAAAAGTTTCATCTCTTTACTTTTTTCTTGTATTGAAAAAAAAGCTTTTTTCTTTTAACACATCTACCACACAGCACTATAGTAATTAAATACAGGCATAATTTATACAATATATATATATATATAATAAATGAACTATCAAATTTAAATGGTTTTTTTTATCACATCTTACATGTCCCGAAACGACGAAGAAAAAGTCCCAAAACAACTTCCGTCTTGTTACCGAAACGACATGTTACCGAAACGACCTGACACCAAAATCTGGTTGAAAGTGGTCGATCACTATATGTTAGAAGTACAACAGTTCTGTACTGTAGAGTATATATGGTGGCATATTTCTGTCATCAAGTTGCCGACTTATGACTGAATGATGTTGACAGTATCTCTGAATCATGTGGACAAAATATGAGAAGATGTTGCCATCACAGAAGAAGATGTCATCATAAACAGAAGAATATGTCGACATGCTAATGTACTTGTCAAGATAATAAATCCAAGATGATTATCCAGCAAGTCGGAAACTCTGCTATTTATTTTCTTCTTTTGTATAGGTTAGCACTCCTCTTGCCATGGGGGCTTGTAACAAATGTATACAAAATATTTATTAACACACATAATGTGCGTTCGTTCAGTGTATATAATTTTAGCTCTGATCTGGCCCGAAGTATTTGTTACAAGCTTATGCATACTCTTACTTAAGGGGATACAATGAAACTCTAACACATCCTCCTTAATTAGTCAGAGGGGAAAAACATCCTTTCAACTTAGACATTAACAGTTTTGCTAAGGTCAAATTAAGTTCTTTTTGAAAATAACCATGGAAAAAGCACATTCACTTATCATATTGTGACAGATACATGTACGTAGGTTGAATATATTAAACTATATTACCGAACACAAAAAAAAACATGTCGCTTTAAGCTTAATTTGTCAAAGTGTTTTAATTGGTCTTTCTTAGTATAGTGAAATTTTGAAAATTGAAAACTTCCTCCTTTTTCTTTTGTTTTCATAGGAAAATGAAACGTAAATAAAAAGATGATGATTACTTTAAGAAAATAATTCTTCTTTCATATAATTTAAGGCATCTGGTTTCGGCCACGTTGTGGAATAGCTTACCATCTGCTATTAGAAAGTCAAATACCATGGCCAAATTTAAGAGGGACATCAAAACTCACCTCTTCACATCTGTATTTTAGGCTCTTTGCAAAGACGTCGTGTAATTACCAAACCCTTTATTTGTTCATTTATGTGCACATTGCGTTGATGATCTGCTTTCTTAAATGTATAAAAGTGATTGTAAGCCTTTGTTTTTGTTTCACAATCATAACTAATACTATTATTCATATGTTGTAAAGCGCTTTAGAGTAATTTTACAAAAATTATATAGGGTGCTATATAAATGTTGTATATTATTATTATTTATTATTTCACTTTTTAATTTTCTTCCAAAAAGTTGATGATCTGCTTGCTTAAATGTATAAAAGTGATTGTAAGCCTTTGTTTTTGTTTCACAATCATAACTAATACTATTATTCATATGTTGTAGAGCGCTTTAGAGTAATTTCACAAATTATATAGGGTGCTATATAAATGTTGTATATTAATTATTATTATTTATTATTTCACTTTTTAATTTTCTTCCAAAAAGTCAAACTCTATTGTTGATTATACATGTACATGTAACATTTTGAATAGTTACCAGTAAAAAAACACAAGATATAGCCTTTTGTTAATTTATTTCAGGAAAGTTTTAGAGGAGAACAAAATATTTGACAACGGCCGAAGATTGAAGAAAACTTCAAAAGGAAGAATTGCAATCCCATTGAAAAAGTCAGCAAACTTGGAGACAATTGTTGATACTCTATCTAAAATTGGTATTATTGTTGAAAAAGAGTGTTTGAAATTACCCCTGTCGAAAACTGCCCTGGCACAAACACCCTATGATTGTTTGGTTTCATCCCTCCACGATTTCCTTGGTAACGATGATGTCAATTTCTCGACATTGGTAAAGGATATACCGACCCACTGGGAGAGACATGGCGATCTAATTGTGTTTTCAGGGAGCTTTTTTACGCACAATATATGGCAAGGTAAGTGAAAAAATTCAAAATACAGGTCCTCTTGAACATTCACAGGCTTTTTGTTCTCAAGATATCTTAAAGACATTTTTCCTTAACTGAATTTACCAATTGTGTAACTTTTGTGAAGATCTTAATTTCTTAAGCAGAGAAATGTTGGTGAGGCTTGGAACTTGTATATAAGGCCAAACAAGAAGTTAAGTTTGTTTCCCATTTCATGTCTGAAAAATCAAGGGTATGTTGGTGAACATTTAAGAAAAATAACTTTTATCATGTGTATGCCATGGAGAGTGATATTGACTTTAATAGGCTGCTTTCATGGAAACTGACAAAAAACATTTGGGCTAGGTATACATAAGGTAAGCTGAAACAGTATTTCTATTTGGTCTATAATTATATAAGTATAGTATATATAAGTACATTGTACTAAACTGATGTACTTATTTACTGGGTTTTATTACACAGTGCTAAACCATCTAGTCACTTGATACTGATTTGATGGGAATTTTCCTACTGCCTTTCCTAATTGGTAGAATACTGAAATAGTAATCTGCAGTCCTGGGTAAGACTCCTATTAGAGGCACTTTCAAAATGTGACCTAGCTTATAGATATATGATCAAGAAAATCCATATTTTCAGTAAGGGCACAGTACTCTATGATGAACAATATGAATCCATTTAGAAGCTCGGCAGAAATTGTCCCAATATTAGAAATTATCCCTTTCTGGAAGACTTACTATGTTTAAGGATACATTTCTTTCTACAGCAATGCAAAATTTATTCCTTGGTCAGGTTTAGCATCAATTTAACTTATTCACCCCAGAAATTTCATAATGAAATATTTCAACTTTGAATTGGAAGAGTTCAAATGTGTGTTCATGGGTGAATGAGTTTAAGAATTAAATCAAGAATTATGTGGTAAGATTTATTTAATGTTTTTTATTCATTACAGGTTTGGGGCCTGGCCTGTGGAAGGCTGTGGCCACAAGTCTCGGCTGCTCCAGACTGGCACAGAAGGGTGTCATCAGCTCCAACGGTTATCGGTCACCAACAGTTGTCCTACTGCTTGGTGATTGTGGATGGGTGCAACATATAGACAATGGTATCAGGTAAAGTCGAGATCCGGATCAACACTAGCAGAACTTTGAATTATTACTAACTTGGAATCAGAAATAGTGTCAGTAATATACATGTATGGCATCACGATGGTTTATGCATCTTTGCTAACCAAGGATTACGATCTACTACGGTAGTAGGCAGATCGGATCGTATCGGATTGTAACCCTTGGCTAGCGAAGATGTGGTTTGAGGGTGGGGTGGCACAGTGGATAGAGCATTCGCCTTTCACAAAGATGACCGGGGTTCGAATTCCAAATCTAATGTAAAAAGGTATGGGGCCCCCAGTGCCCGACCACGTGGGTTTCTCGGGGTACTCCAGTTTCCTCCCACATTAAGACCCCCTTTACTTTACCATCCAGGCCAATAAGAGAATCAAATCTTTTTGGACCTTTTTTTTGGTTAAAAAATATAAAATAATTGTGAAATGCACTAATGTAACGGTTCCTGACTTGGAGCATGTGTATTTTATTTTATAGTTAAAGTGTCAGGGTTTATTAATTGACTATGGTATATTAAAATGATTAGATGGATCTTGAAAGCAGTAGACCAATAACAAGAAACTCCAATGCAATATTAGCAGATTACGATAGTTTGGTTTTTTGGGGGGGTTTTTTGAAAAGGGGAGGCGTACGCCCATTACGCCCTCACCTGGACACACCCCCCCCCCCCCCCCCCCCCCCCCCCCCCCCCCCCCCCCCCCCCCCCCCCCCCCCCCCCNAAAGGAAGGAAACTGGAGAAACCCATGTGTAAATATAAGATGATAGAACTTTAATTCACAATGGTTGTGTTGAAAATATGATGATCCCATTAAACTCTATCTTAGGTCTTCGATTTGAACTGCCTTGCACCTTAACTTTGGTCTCTGACTCGTACTTAATTAGTTACATAAAGGGCAGCTGTGAAAAGCTGGCCTGGCACTCACACTTGCGTATTTTCTACACAAATTATAATTAACACCAATATAGAAAATTATCAACAAGTTAAGTTGATACAGTAATACCCAGCCAGCATTCAGATATCGGGCCGACATTTGTCCGATTTTGGAATCTACATCAGCGCGATGTCTGTTTTAGGAGCAGGCTGACATCGGTCCAGCTTCCATTTGCAACATGTTTTGATGTCGGCCCGGTATTGGCAACTATATCCGCCCGATGCCTATCCAACGTCTATCCAACGTGAAAATCATATTCCTTTTAGTATTTGGACAACCTGTGTACATATGTTGGCCTGACATTGGCCAAATCTTAGTTTGCAGTCTTCCAGTACCGGTATATTAAACATTTAATTTGCATAATTTGAAAAGGATTCCCTGTATAACATATGCAATGCTGACAATACTAGTCTGCTACAAACCAATCTACAAACCTGGCCGTTGTTGCCTGTTGTAGTTGATCTTGATGACCTTATTAAGGTTTTGAGTCCTTGTTTATTAGTATTCAGAAATATTGTAATACAGCCTTTTTTTTCTATCATTTGCCCCGCATAACTCCAGCCAAGGTGTCCAGGACATGGAACAAACCACAGCATTCTGATTTGCTCTACAACCTCCTTTTTATACGCCCGTCAAATTTGACGGGAGTATTATGGTATGGGGTTGTCCGTTCGTCCATCCGGCTTAAACTTTTGTTTGTCCGGTAATCTCCTCCTACATTTTTTGGACCGATCTCTTTGAAACTTGGTATACATTATAACCATGATATGAAGTTGTGTCTCCCTTAAAAGAATTTTGAATTGACAATTTTTGCAAAACTTCTTGCCCTTTGTTTATTTTTTGTCCGGAGGTTTTCTCCTACATTTTTTATAGCATGTCAGCTAACCACTCTTAGAATGATCTTATTTCAATGTAAGAAAGTATATAACACTATATGGCATTCGACGGACGTATATTGTTCCGCCCCGCGGTACTCTTGCCCATTTATAACTTGTAATTCTATGCTTCAGGTACACCTATGACCTGACCAAATGCATGTTCAGTGCAGGCAATATCACAGAGAAACTGAGGGTAGCAGGTTTTTACTGCCAAGGAGAAACAGTCGTTGATCTCTATGCAGGTATTCCTTTGACTTTGATCTTGTGTACTTTTAGATCTTTTATATAATTATGTATTAGTGTTGTTTTGTGTTGTTATTATGGAATGATATTGCTATATATGTGAACCATGTATATATCAACCATTATGAGATGGTGTACCATGGGTGATTTTTGGGGCTCTCAATCCAAGGTCAAGGTCACACATTGAGGTCAAATTTCAAAAATGATTTTGTTAGTCTGAGGAAAACTTTAAGCTCTGAAGAGTGCGGCATCAATCATCTGATAAATGGGTTTTTTTAACGACTTCTCATTGAAACCAAGGTCAAGATGTTTGGCTATTACCCCCAGTAGGTACAGTACAACTAACATAATTTGTTCAAAGAAATGACCTTGTCCAACTTTTAAAGTCCCTTGAGTAAAATAAAGTTAAAATCTTCCAGTAGAGATCCATGAGGTGTAGGGTATATGATATCTAGCCTGTAGTGTAGCTTACTGTACACCAGGAAAGTTTTGCACTGTCATACTTTCGACCTTTATTGGAAAAGCCCATATTATCCCAGTGTTATTTTCACCCTCCATATGTCATTGCTATAGATGGAATACTGCTGCCATCACCATGCCCTCATTCCAGTGGGTTAAAAGGTGAAGTTTAAGGGTGATAATTTTTGCTATCAAGTTTGTTTAGATATATATTTGACCTTGACCTAATTGATGGTAACTGATGTGAAATGTCTTCACTCTTTTCAAACTGCAATGCATACGAGGTAAGCAATTCAGGCCCTATCCGCCTCTTGTTTCAATCTCTCTGTCAGTGCTTCACTGTAACCTACAATTGCCAAAGTTTTTAGGTGAATACCTCGTGGGATGGCAGACTTGTTTGCTGAAATTTGGTCTCATACCCTTCTTTATACAGACTTATTGCCCTTTGTAAATTTTAAATACTTAAGTTTTTTAAGATTTGGCAACTGTCCTTTGTCCATGCAGAACACCAGATGTTTAATTGATTGGAATACTTTAAATAGACAAAATGAAGCAAACATAACTAATTGTTGAAAAACATAATTTCTCATTAGTTTTACAAATTATATTTAAATTTCAAAGATAGTTTAGTGGAAGTTATTCCTGAAATCAATTGCTTCTTCATCCCATATACTAACTGAATCATGGATTATAATAACAATATTTCTGTACTGAAGTTAAAGTTTAAATATATCTTTTAGGCGACGATCAGTGATGAGTGTGCTGATGATATTGTATATATACAATGCATATAATTAGGTTGTTATGTTTCCTTCCCAGGGATTGGCTACTTCACATTGCCATATTTGGTCCATGCCAAGGCTTCACATGTCCATGCCTGCGAGTGGAACCCAGATGCTGTCGATGCCCTGAGGAAAACTCTCGCACTGAACAGTGTATCGGATAGGTGCACCATACATCAGGGTGACAACAGAGAGGTCAGTCATCCATAAAAGTTAATTAACTCATTCACACCTGAGCACAGTCACACATTTTAACTCTTCCTGTTCAAAGGTTGAAATAGTCACTATGAAATTTCAGGGATGAATGAGTTGACATTTCAGCAGCATTGTAAAATAATATATGGTAACACTTTGTTTTCATGAATATTTCTTTTCGTGTTTTAATTTTCTTCCATTACCTTTAATATGGAGATTTAAATTGATGAAAGTAGCAATGACCCCCAGAACTTGAATCATAATTTCCGGATATATGTAGTGATTGAATTGAATTTTTCCCAGTTAGATAAAATTTTGTTTTTTCCACACCAAAGTTGATTTTTTATCATGACAGACTTGTCCAAGGAACATTGCTGATCGAGTCAACTTAGGGTTAATACCCTCCTCAGAAGAGGGATGGCCTGTAGCATGCAGAGCGCTGAGGTCTACTGGGGGCTACCTTCATATCCATAGCAACGTCACTTCAAAGCATTCCAGTAACCCAGACTGCAGTGTTAACCTTGACAACAACACAGACAAGTCTGATTCTCCAATATGTTTGAAATGTGGAAATGCAATTCATGTCAATTTCAAACACAGTTCAGATATTGGAAAAGGAAATAATAATTTGCAAGGAAATCATGAAGAACAACAGAGATATCAATGTTATGATCGAGTCAACACTGATGATTTAACCAATAGCAACTGTGATGCATCAAAAGACAAAGATGCTTTAGAGACAGAATTGAGCACAGAGGAACCTGTGGTAATGGCTGTCAGAGATGAGAATAGCTACAGCAACAGTTATATTTATGATAATGACAGTCTGTCTAGGAGTCTTTGTGATATAGACAATTTGTCAAGGGAGAAAACTAGGAGTGACCATGAGACCTTAGAAGAAACAAAAGCCTCAGGTCGTAGAGCCACTTACCGAAGTCATACATCTGTGGAAATAACATGTACATGTACAAATAAAACCAGCAAAAGTTCTGCCTCGAAAATCAGTAGAAAAGACTGGAATCTCTGGGCAGAGGGTGTCGCCAAGACAATATCACAGCTGTGCACCCAGGTCCACAAAGACAATAATCAATGGACGGCCAGAATTGATCACATCGAGCATGTCAAGTCGTACGCTCCGCATATTGACCATCTAGTGCTTGATCTGGAATGTCGACCAGTGATATCGATGGAGAATTAAAATAAGATATGATACGTACATTTTGTACTTCAATGTATTTTTTATTTCTGGCATTAATTTTCAACATTTTTCCCATTCACACTTTCATTTTATTTAAGACCTCTACAGTAGAGCTTCGTAAATCCAGTCACCACTATTTATCTTTAGAACCAGTGTTTGAGATAAGCTCATTTTTATGCAAAATTCTCCCAGTTACCGGTAATCCATTTTTTCAAAATCTGACTGGATTATAAAGAGCTCCACAATATACATGTCCTGACATTTTGGTTTCTGAGAAATCGGGACTTCTTCTTGATATTTGAAACAAAAGTTATCATTATAGAACGAATGGGAAGTTGGATACAAAATAGGCATGTGTTTGTCAGATCCTAAAACCTAAATACGAGTGTTAACCTGATCTAAGTATGTGTCAGATCCTAAATATGAGTGTCAGATCCTAAATATGAGTGTCAGATCCTAAATATGAGTGTTTGATCCTAAATGCAAGTGTCAGATTCTAAATAGGATTGTTTGTCTGATCCTTAATTTGAGTTTTTGTCAGATTCTGGATATAAGGCTAATTGTCAGATCCTAAAAATGAGTGACAGATCCTTAATATAAAGTGTGAAACATCCTAAAACATTAGTATTTATCAGATCCTAAATATAAGTACCTACTGTGTAAGATCCTAAATATATTTGTGAGATTCTGAATATGTACATCTCTGTCAATTAGATCCTAAATATGACCATCATATCCTAAATATAATTGGTCTGTCAGATCCTAAATGAGCGTGTTCATATGCCTTTTTGAATAGAATGATTTTGAAGTCATGTTTCAAAATTTCAAAATATTTATATACCAGTTATTACATTTGACATCAGAAAGTATTTCATATTGACATATAATTAAATTTATTAAAAACTGTCGGAGATATAAGAATGAGGATGCTTAACTTTTGCCTCGGGAGGCTGCAAGTCAGGGGTATGTCCCTGCTCACCATAGGAATGTTGATTGTCTGTGATTGTCCATGACGTTTTTAGAGATGACGAGATTGTGACATTTACAGGCACTTGGTAGAAAGAGAGCTTTGCCCACAAGAGTGGCTACCTCCTTTGTGCACAGGTCAAACTCTGCAATACCTTTGGTCAGAACAGAATTATCACAGTCCGAATCCCCAACCATTGTACCCAGGAAATACAGTGATTGTGCCCTAGAGACAAAACCTGCTAGAGTTCCCTCCCTTTCAAAGGTGTGCAATTCCTCAAGATACATTCCATCTTTCTCCCGACTCTCTCCGTAAAATCGCCATATTTTCCTTGCATTTGTTAGATATATATCATCCCCGTATCCGTAAGCATGTAGCCAGTTAAAACTCTGCCCTATCGGTAGAACACAGTCTAGAACTGTACATTCATTGGTAGTTGTATCAAAACACTGTATGATATCACACACATTGTCGGGGTCTTCCAAGCTGATGCCACTGAAGATAAAGATGTTTGTTTTTGAGATCGCTGCAGTTGCCTTGGCGACAGGGCGACACAGAGAACCACACTCCTCCCAGTTCCCATCTTCACTTGAGGAGAAAGTGTACATAATTACAGACCTCAGGATCTCCATGCTGCTGTTCCAAGAGTCGTTCTCCCTATATCCCCCGAGGACATATACACTTTGCCTCACTACCACCATACAGTGGTGTTTTCTGGCCTCTTCCATGTAGGGTAGAGTGGTCCAGTTATTCTTTATTCCATTATATTGGAGGAAGTCGTTATGTCCTGTCAGGAGTAGACGTGTTTGTGTATAGGTACATGTCTGGTAGCCTGCTGTCACCTGTCCGGGGGGAATCAGCTGCTGCCATGTTTTGTCACCGTAATGATAGCACCAAAATTCCTCACTGTGAGAATAATTCTCAAAATAAACCCAACACCACTAGCACTTTCTCACGGTCATAGCACGGCCGGAATTCACTTCGTACAGAATGGAAGTCGGCTTGAATGCCAAGATTTTCTGAAAACGATCTTGTTTCATCCATTAGACTTTGTAGAGCTGTCTCCTGAAAAAATGGAAATTTTTCTTCAATAAATTGCATTTTCAACAATGGAAAATGAACATTATGGAATACTTCATATAGAAGTTCCTTTCTTTCAGTTAGATTGAACTGAAACCACTTAGTCACAGCCATGCAAACAAATGCTTCTGTGCTTGCTTTCAACTTCTGGTGAGAAATAAGGCAAATCAAGTCCTGACTTTCAAGTTCGAGAAAGTCTGCCGTTTTTGCAAATTTACAGAAGTTTTGTAGTACATAGCTTTGACATGCGCACTGTAAGTTCGTTAGCTGAGGGAAATCTTCCTTTGAGGTTTTCCATAAACTGCACACATTATCCAGATTAATCGCATTGCTTAAAGTTTGTTCACAAATTGCCTGTAGCGACTCTATTTGGAAATATACAGCTAAAGGCAACAAATCAACAGTATCGCCTACGCTTGTCACCTTGCCATTGTAGATAAAATCAAGCATTTTTTTGATGAGGTTATCTTCAAAAACACCCAAATTAATTTCGTCTTGCTCACTTTCTTTCATTCCAATTGTGAACATAGATTTGAAGAAAGCAGAAAATGAGCTGAGGATGACCTTGTGGCATGGAAATCGCTGTTGTTTGGTGACAAGTGTTACGTCACAGAACTGACCATTCTGGAGAAAAGTAGAAAATCCATCTATTAAGACAGAATGATGTTTTTGACCGATGAACTCAACGTCACTATCGGATAACTTGTCTTGTACCTCTTTCTCTACAGTTGCAGAGGATTTCTCTGATGTTCCTTCCGCCATTATCATTAGAATGTTTAATTCAGTCTAATATTGCCTGTCATGCACCTCTTTGCAATTGTTAAGCAAAGATAAAGTTTGTATTTCATTTTCAAAATTTTCAAATATCCACTTAACTTATGTTAAAATGTATAAATGCCACACACAAGTACATATTGCCGTTATTAAAATGTCTGAATTTTAAACAGCCTTGAAAGATGATTGGTGGTGTCTGAATTTACGAATGTTTCCTGGGCCATCAATTCATTATCATCATCTCGTTATTGCCTTCTTCTTTCAGGTAATGTTGATTTTCATTCACTTTAGAGAAAACGTTGACCATGAAGAAAGCATGCATGCACTGAAAAAGCAAAAAATAATATAAGAAAAATAAATAAATTTCTGTAAATAACATGTAAACCTTATTTCATACAAATACATTCGAACACATAGGCTACATTCGCGTATCCCGGTTGAAACGGTACGTGTGGCGCAGAAATTTCCGATAAACGAACACACTTGGACCGTTCTATAAGCAGAGCTAAAAATCCACAGTTTCGGAGAATAAAAAACAGTGTTTCAAGAATATTATGACCTTCTTTCATCCGTCCACTGAATTACATAACGTGTCTTAAAAACTACATGTGTCTTGGCATTGTTTTAGAAAGAAATAACGCAAATTGGCAATAGTCAGCATTTTAGTTTCGGTCAGGTACGTCTGGACCCCTCAATCTACACGTGCCAAATTTTCCTGAGGTCAGCCTCGGTCCAGATCTGTACCTGTCGTTTTCTTTACAGGTTTAACCGGTTCAACCGTTTCAACCGGTAACGTGAATGTACCCATATATTACCTTTGAAATTTACATATCAAGAATCTAGATTATATTCGGAAAAGTATATTTCAACTTTCAACAAGTATACTTTTTTCAAAGGTATGCTTGACTTCAATACAAGTATTTTATCACAGTATATATTACTCCCTTCTATATTTTACACACAAAATAGAGAAAGCAGAGACAAGGTATATCAGGGTAGGCTTGCCCTTTCATCAGATGATGACCAAACCTTCGTGTGAGGGATAATCCTCAATTTGGATAAACAGTGACTGTTTACAGTAACGATTTTATTACTGAAAGTGAAAATATAAAACAAAGTTCTTTTGAAATATTAGGAACGAAAAGGGCATCATTCTTTCAACATTATCCTGACCACATGCAAGTAAGTTTAATATTTTCTTCAATTTTGTAGCCAACCATGAATTACTTGATATCATTGGTGAAATTATTGTTTACTACCGGGTATTAATAAGTAGCCGAACTGGACTAGGCCAATTGTTGGCGAACAGGTAGAGCATCTGCTTCATTTAGTGTTTAGTGCTTCATTTAGTGTTGGTGCGTGGGTTGTAGTGAAAATGGAAAAACTAGACGTAGCCGAACTGGACTGGGTCGATGGTTGGCGACTAGGTAGCTAAATCGGTAGAGCATCTGCCTCATGAGTTCAGAGAGTTGTGGGTTTGAATCCTGGTCTAGCTGTGCATTTCTCTTTCTATTACACAATTAGCGAGCTTGTCAACCCTTGATTAACCACAACCTACCCTGGGTTGTAAATATTTGTGTCTTTGGGAGACAAAGACTAGGAAAAAGGGGGGGTGGGAGTATGTAGTGAAACTAGGGTCGATTGCCGGCAACCAGGAAGCTCCATTGATAGCGTGTCTGTCTAGAGTTTGGAGGGTTCCAGATTCACGTCCCAGTCTAGTTCACTCTTTCTCCTATTACCAGTGTTAACTAGATAATAAACAAAAATTATTGTTGTTGTCAATTAGATAATTATGTTCAACCTGTCCGGCTCAGATATTGATTCCCAACACTAGTATGTACATTTCTCTGCACTTAATTGCTTATGATAATTAAAACAAAGTTGTCAATGTCCTTTATTAAATAAAATGAGATTTTGTTATCCAATGATAGCAATGATTAGCTCTTAGGGGCATCCTTCCAAGTGACAGATGAAAATGCATGTTAATTCTGTAGCGGAAATGGACTGGGTCGATCCTCAACGACCTGAGGTAGCTCAATTAATTGAGCGTCCATCTAGAGTTCAGTGTCCCAGGATCAAACCACAGGCTGGCTGTGCATTTTTCTATCTCCTGTTACAGTGGTGCCTGTGACCAACCCTTGTTACAAGCACTGGATGCACTCCGTGGCTTGGCAAGTGGATAACTAAACCTGGGTTGTAAATAGTTGTGTCTTCAGGGGCTAAGACTTAGAGAAAGGAGGGAAGAATGTAGTGAACTGGACTGGGTTGATCTTCGGCGACCCAAGTAGCTTAATTGGTTTAGCGGTCGTCTCGAGTGTGGTGGAACCCAGGTTGGAACCCCGGACTGGCAGTGCATTTTTCTATCTCCTGTTAAAATTCAATTTATAAGGCTTGTTCCAAATTTCTATTCTTTTATGTTAAAACAAAATTGGGGGATGAATGATATGTTAGAAAAAAATCTCGATTGCGTGTTTAAGTAAAATACTGGTTACCTGTTCTTGTTTTGTGTAGTACCTTAGACTTGAAGCTGATAATGTTTTATAAGACAGTGAGATTTAAAGAAAAATGTATTCATTTTGTAGTGATTGTCAGTTAATTAATTGTCTTATTATTTTGTAATGATTTGTAGTTTGATCGCATTATTAAAATATTAATTTAATTCAAGAAATGTATTTGTAGAAATATATACCATAAGGAATTTTGTACACAGTACACTGAAAGCAATGCAGTGATAACGTTTGTCATTTTTATAAAACTTTAGAAATAAGTATTAATATATATTTGTGCAAAATTGTAGACTACTGAACCTTATTGTATGCCATGGAACCCTAAGTATCATGATATTCATAACTTATTGGATTATGTCGATAAAATGACGCCCTTTTTGCTACAGTTTTTACTTTATTAACACAAGTTACGTGACGGTATTTAGAGGGTATTTTTGAACATACTTCAAATTTATTCACCAAAAGAATTGGTAGTCTACGTTGAAGACATCAATTATACATCGACGAACCTTCCGTCCTAGTTTACGCCCTGAGCTAAAAGAAAATCATTATCTGATTCTGAATTATGTACGGCATGGGAAAGAATCTCTCCACTGCCCATAAAAGATTTCAGTCTCCTCACATTTGCATTCTGTTTTGTGATCGATACCAACAAAGCCTCCCTTAATGAGACATCATTATCTTCAGGGGTTGAGGCGGAACAGGCATCTGGCGTCCTTGGAGACATCAGTAAATGGGAGATAACTCGAATAGTTTTGACCAAATTATAGGTAGCACAACATCAATAAAATAATATCAAAAATGGTTGCGTTTCGAAGAGAATAATCAAATTCTGTATAGTTTTTATGACAATGTTTTGTTTGCTAAATGCTTTTATTTCTTAAAGTACAATTTAGATAAGGTAAAGAATGCCATTAAGTTAAAATATATTACCACGACCATATTTTTTCGAAATCGACAAAATATTATGTACTTGCTTATAAAGCGTAATTTAAAAGGATTTAAAAGGATAATTGATGGACGCAGGCATATACTGCCTCTATGTCCATATAAGTAATATTACAATTTGTAAACAAATTATTTGTTACTTCCGCTAACGAAATATGTCCAGCCAAGTGATTATATTTTAGATCAAAATTATTCCAATAATAGTCAAGTCCAATTTCAAATTCCCTGATTATGGTTGCTTGTACGACCTCACCAGGAAGACTATTCCAAACGTCCACAGACCGAAGATCAAAGGAGTATTTCCGGATGTCAAGTACATGCAATACTTTTGTCTTTAACTTCCCCGAATGACCTCTTGTTCGCCGTGAAGTGTCTTAATCGAAAATTCCTGTGGTAACTGCACTATCGTGGAAGTTGTTTAATATTTTGTAGACATGATCTTTTGTAATAAACATAAATTCATGACGTCAATTTCTTTAATATTTGAAAAGCGACAGTATTACTATATACACTTTGAAACACTACTGCAATGGATGTTTTTTATGGATGTTTTTTTTAGGGAAAGCGAAGATCATGTCTTTTTTGAAGAGAATACATTTAACGTGTATTTAGAATATTATTGAAAAATAAATTGTCAATATTCCAATGATACCAAGCGTTTTTTGCACATCCACTAGAAAGATAAGTTTTGCTACGAAAATATTAAGTTGGTCGATTATTCGATATCGAGAACTTCCAACCCTTCTAGTGCATAATTGGTACGGGGTCATATTTTTTACCTAGTGTTGATCTAAACCCTTAAACCAAATACTACTCAATACATCAGGATCACAGGGACCTGATACATGTAATTTATTTGTTACAGTTATATTAGCACCTAAACTGGGATGTTTAGAGAAATTTTTCACGTGTAATGGGTTTAGATAAAGTTTCGTATACACCATCATTCGGGGTGGCATTTTTACCGAAACTTGATCCCAATAAAACGTGTAAAATTACTCTGAACACCCCAGTTCAGGTCCAAATATAGCTGTAACAAATTCTCAGGTCCCTGTGATCAGGATAGGTCCAAAGTTATAGTGCTACCCGCTGCAATCCGCTGCAACAATTTCCCAGGTGGTTGCGATTTGGCGCCGACATAAGACTTATAATTAGCGTTGGCATAAGGCTTGCCAATATATTGTACATACCGGCTATAATATTAATCTGCATACTAACTAGTTTCAGGGTACGTAGTTACTGCATGGAAAGCAATCAACCAATCAGAATCGAATAATACTATTAGTTGTTCGTTAATATGCTTGCATCACATTGACGATCGAACGTAACCGGACTTGCCATTATATGTGTGTTGAAATCGAACCATTTTCAGTGCAGTATGGAATGGAAACCCACTCATCTAATCAGAAGCAAGTGCACGCATCGACTTTGTGATCGAACATGCATACCAATTCCAGGTGAAATCGGATTTGTTTTAGGTTTCAGGCCAGTAATTGACGGAAACTAAGACGGACGAAGGAACAAACACATACTTATATTACCCGTTTTCTATACGAAAACTGATTGTATGAAAATCACCGATCCTGTCAGCACTTAAGACATTTCAATAACTTCCTGTTTCAGCGAATAAAAATATCAGTGGCATGTTTATTTGAAATGAAAAAAAAATATATCCTTGTTAAGTGGCGACACTGTGATATGAATATATATATAGCTGACACCTTTAATATTGATAGCTTACCGGAGTCCCAGATCCTTATTGTATCTTGTCGACGGTAAGCTTGTCTCACTCAGCTATGCATCTCTCGGGGATGCTGTGGGATAAAATCGATTAACGAACGTTGACAATATATCAACGTGTCACCTACTATTTCTATGTAACCGGATAGTGTCACGGTTATAAACACTGTATGTTATAGTATTTTTTGAATTTCAAATTCGAATTACAATCCAATGAATTCTGAACAATTCCGTAATCATTATGTATTATTTATAGCGTTGCAGGTTGCAAAACACGGTCTTCAGTATTGTTGATGGTTATAAATCAATAATAACAAAAAAAAATGTTTACAATAACAATTTTATTACTGAGAGTAATACTCAATTGGTATAGTGTCTGCCTAGAGTTTGGAGGGTCCCGGGTTTAAATCCCAGTCTGGCCGTGTATTTCTCTTTCTCCTGTTAGACAATGATCTTCAGTATGATTTATGTTTAATGTTCATATATGCTATGTTCGAGCTTTTTGCTGTTGCCTGCTGATTCAACTGAGTTGATGCTAGGATGTCTTTCCATTCGTTAACTAATAGCTTGAATTGCCACATCATCGATTCAAAGGGATGGTTCACATAGGTCCAAATTGAGAAACTAAATACCTGGCTTTTAAAAAAGGGGATTATTCGTGACATTTTTTTTAATTTTGATTGAGGTTCTGTTGTTTTATTGTTTGTTTTGGAATCCATCAGTTCTCTATGTTTTCATCTCAGTTCGTATTGTTGTCTCCAGTTCCTTTTGTTGTCCCTTAAGTTCACATTGTTGTCTCACCAGTTCACATTGTTGCCTCCTTAGTTCCTTTTGTTGTTTCCCCAGTTCACTTTAGTGTATCCGAAGTTCCCATTGCTCTTTCCGTGTTTCTTGTTGTTGTCTCCCTAGTTCCTGTTGTTGTCCTTTCAATTCCTTTTGTTGTCTCCAGTTCCTTTTGTTATCTCCTTAGTTCCCTTTGTTGTCTCCAGTTCCTTATCTCCTTAGTTCCCTTTGTTGTCTCCAGTTCCTTTTGTTATCTCCTTAGTTCCCTTTGTTGTCTCCAGTTCCTTTTGTTATCTCCTTAGTTCCATTTGTTGTCTCCAGTTCCTTTTGTTGTCCATTCAGTTCCTTTTGTTGCACCCGAAGTTCTCATTGCTCTTTCTTGTGTTCTTCTTGTTGTCGCCCCAGTTCCCGTTGTTGTTGTTGTTGTTGTTGTTGTTGTTGTTTTGTATCGACTGTGATGTGGGATTTCGTCCTCGTGTTTTGATGATATGGTATACTACATATGAATATCTCATGATAAAATATGAACTTTCAGGTGTTGAAGTGTTTACTAGTTATCATTGTTATGAGTTGGAAATTGGACACAAAAATACACAGTTAGCTTAGTGACTATGCACAAATTGTTTTCCTTGAATGTCTGTCTCATAATTGGACCCATGGCATGCAAGATGCTCAGATATCAAGTCCTGTTGCTTTCTTTTGAGAAACCGTTCAATACCTGAACCCATTGTATGCAATTAGCTGGGTGATAAAGGATCGCTTATTTTAATTGAAACACCGTCCCATACTTGGACCCATGGTATTTAATAAGCTCAGGGATCAATCACTAATTGTTTTCTTTGAAAACATGTCCCATACTTTGACCCTGTGCGTGCAAAACTATAAGCTCAGTGATTAATTACAATTTGCTTTTGGTTTTAGTAATGCCCAAATCCTGGACCACCGGCTCGCAATAAGCTCAGAGATCAAGCAACAACTGGATTCTCTGGGAAAGAATCATATACCATACCGGTATTTTGATCCATGGTATGCAATAGGATCAGCAATCAAGTTTTCACCCGTTGTCAGTATAATGTGACCGGGCGGGATGCTGTGCTGGGTGCCTTCGGCATGGTATTTCCGTGAGACAGCACTATAAAGTCGGCATCAGATCCGCGTTATCACAAGGAGGCAACCAACATACCCTGTCTCCTGCACACACACACACACACACACACACACACACACATGCAAGCATGCATGCACAGCACACAAGGAGGCTCGTCCTAATTGGCTTAGGTGTTAATAGAACGGTAATCAAAATAAAACCAAAACAAACCAATCAAACCAATTGCTTTGATATTGCATATCTATCATTGCATAAGAGAAAATAGTTTAGTATGTTAACATAACGAATCTGTTGCCGTCAGAGCGGCTGAACTCGCGGATTTAAGTTAAATATAGGCAACGCCAGTTAATGATATCGTTTAAACATCTTACAGTGATCATATAATTCAGCGGCTTAGATTCAAAGGATGGGGCCTCATTAGGCCGTTTGTGGTTGTTGATGTATGGTTGTCGTGTTTAAAAGATGAGCTAACACATTATATAATAAATAAGGTTGACTGTTTTCCTAGGGTTCTTTTAGAATCTTTCGAACCTGTTGCCATTAGCGTAGCCAATCGTATGGATATTGAATCAATATAGGCAACACCAGGCAATAACGAGTAAGAGTCGTTTAAACATGTTATAAACAGAGAAATTGTGTAGATATGTTTTGGTCTATAGTTTTCAAATCCAAAGGAGTTTTAAACCTGAGGCAAGCGTCTGATCCTTTGCAAAACTTCATTAACCAGCTGAGGTTTTCTTAAGTTTCATTGTCCCACGGCAAGGAAATTATTGTTTAACGTCCTATTAACAGCTAAGGTCGTGCATGTGTGTATGTGTGCCGGAGACAGGGTATGTTGGTGAATTGCCTCCTTGTGATAGCGTGGATATGATGCCGACTTTGTAGTGATATCTTACTGAAATACCATGCCGAAGGCACCCAGCACAGCATTCGACCGGGTCACATTATACTGACAACGGGTGAACCATTTGTTGCCATTCCCCTAAATGCTGAACGTTAAGCAGGGAATAACAACTACCATTTTGAAGGACTTTGGGCGAACGCTCAACATTAAAGCCAGATGTGAGGTATTGCCAAGCAAGGCGCTAGGAAACTAAAGGTAGTTAGAAATAGAAAGATCTTAAATGTTGTAATGGGTGCAGCAGATTTATTTTGGTCGCTTTTGTGTCCCCAGGTAGAGGGCACAAAAGCCTTACGATACATGCAGTGGGTAACAGCAGGTGTATTCATTTCTCGATCCCAGACCTGCAGAGGTGCACACATAGATAATGGTTAGAGCGACAGTATAATGATCAGAGGACCAGGGTTCCGGTCTGGGCCCTTGGTTTTAGCTGACCTACCCGAAGGGCAAGTGAGCTTATGTCATGGTGCAGCGTCCGTCGTCGGTCGTCCGTCCTCGTCCGTCAACTTTTCCTTTAAACAACTTCTTCTGCAGAACGGACATGTCTAGAGTCATGATATTTGACTGAAAGCTTTGTTGGTTGGAGCCCGACAAAGTTTGAGAACGAAAATGACCTTGACCTACTTTCAAGGTCACAGGGGTCAAATATGTCAAAAACTTTAAACGACTTCTTCTGAAGAACTAAAAGGTATAGAATCTTTATATTTGGCTGGTGACTTTCTGGGATAGAGCCCAATAAAATTTGAGAATTAAAATTAGTTTGACTTACTTTCAAGGTCACAGGGATCAAATATGTCAAATGCTTCAAACGACTTCTTCTGAAGAACTGAACGGTATAGCATCTTTATATTTGATTGATGACTTCCTGGGTAAGAGCCCGGCAAAATTTTAGGATGAAAAGGAACTTGACCTTCTTTCAAGGTCACATGGGTCAAATGTCTCAAACACTTCAAACGACTTCTTCTGAAGAACTGAAAGGTATAGAATCTTTATATTTGGCTGGTGGCTTCCTGGGATAGAGCCCGACAAAGTTTAAAAACGAAAATGACCTTGACCTACTTTCAAGGTCACAGGAGTCAGATATGTCTAATGCTTAAAACGACTTCTTCTAAAGAACAAAGTTATAGAACCTAAATATTTGGCTTGTAGCTTTCTGGGAAAGAGCCCAACAAAGTTTGAGAATGAAAATGACCATGACCTACTTTTAAGGTCACACGAGGCAGATATGTCAAACTCTTAAAACGACATCTTCTGAAGAACTGGAGGGTATAAAACCTTAATATTTGGCTGGTTATTTCCTGGGAAAGAGCCAAACAAAGATCGCGAATGAAAATGACCTTGACTTACTTTAAAGGTCACAGCGTTCAAATATGTCAAACGGTTCAAACTACTTCTTCTGAAGAATTAAAATTCATAAAATTATAATATTTGGCTGGTGACTTCCTGGGATAGAGCTCACCTGAAGTTTGCGAATGAAAATGACCTCAACCTACTTTAGAGGTCACAGAGGTCAACAACATTTTAAAGGATTTGTTCTCAAGAACTAAAAGGAATGGATTCATAAGATTTGGTTGGTAGCATTTTGGAATAGAGCTAACCAATTTGAGAAGGAAAATGACATTAACCTACTTACATGGTCACAGGGAAAAATATGTCAAGCAACTTCTGAAGAAGAATCAAAAAGCATAGAATCTTATTTTGCTGGTTGTTTCAACAGATGGAGCCAACAAAGTTTGCGAGGGAAATATTTTAAGTGCAATATAATATTTAATGAGAATATTTTGCTATCACGGCTTAAATATTCAGGTGAGCGATACAGGCCCTCTTGGGCCTCTTGTTTAACATTCAAAACGCTGTTTTTTAAAATGTTATTTAATCTTTATTACTTTTATTCAGAAAAGTTCCGCGAGGTATGGATTTCTTTTCATTCTTTTTTGAAATTATTTATCACAGCTGTAGTCAAACCGGGAAGCAAGAAAGAAAAATCCAAATGCACAGTTTCTGTTTGTGGCAGTGAAATGGGGATCCTTAAAAAAAACCCACAAAAAAGTCAATTATTTTTCCTATTTACTGAATAAGCGCAGTGTAATTGTATGGATACCCGGAGTATGTTATTTCCTAGCAATTTCGTATTACGTAACCATTAAGTGAACGTGACATGTTTAAATGCGTTATAACGCTTCAGCTGCCACGAACGAACCAAACAAGATACACATGTACCCGCTTTCACGATAGAACACCGTTTCCATAGAGATGTCCTCACGTTTCTATATTCAGGTACACAGGTGACGATGAAAATCAATAATTGTTCCAGCAGGGACGAATGTATATCATAATCGCTCACCTGTGCATTACTGTCACTTGGTGGCTGTTTACCTGTAATATGACATGGATTGTCTAGATCTGGAACCAGGTATAACGATGATCTAGGCACGGTACTTTTCAAAAAAAGAGAATTCGAAATGCTGGAAAATCGGGTTTACGATACTATTGATAACACATAAGGTAAGGTACAGTTACATATACCGTTTATATCAAACCATAGATTTATTGTGTCACAGCAAAGTGTTTGTAGTTATGCCGTTCCTTGTTTCAATCAAAACAAGCTCTAAACCGTCTCCACTAGAGCGAAAGAGTTTATCAGATAATGCAAAGAACTTGTCAATCGAGAGGTTTATTGTATGAGTGATGCCAATTCTCCACCTCTGGTAATGTTTTCTATATTTACCAAACTGTAAATTTATGTAAGGATCAACTACTTTTAAAGAAAGTACAGTATGTTGATATACATAAATTTATTAAAGGTTTCTTCTAAATAACTGGGTTTTTTTTTGCTGGGATATCGTTAGTTGAGGCAACATCAAAGCATATATTCTGATTATCATAATAATTTGGGGCATGAAAGATACTGGTTAGTCATAGTGAATAAATTGCAGCAAGCAAAAGGGGAAATGTAAATCTAGTATGTCGTTGCTTTTATATGATTAGAACGTAAAATAAATGGTAGTCTTTAAAGACATTGTGATATTCTTGTTATCTCTACTAAGTTTTATGTATTGTTTAGTGAATGCTCAAGATTTTATTTATACACTCGTGACACACCAGGTGTGTTACAAGAGGTCAATGTCTTAATACATTTTAATTACATACAACATGTAAATATAGAATGCTACAGAATAATAGCACTACTATTATCTTATGTCACTTAAAGCCTTCATTGTTTTCTCTAGAAAACGACTAATTTTAGGTAAAACATTTAAATTACAAATAGAAATGATTCATTTTAGCTTAAAATTGCTGGGGGGGTTTAGTGTAATAATTATGGATGTATATATTTTTCTTATTGATGATATACAAGTATTTTGGCATTTTAACAAATAATGTGATTCATCACCTATACCTGTTTGACATAAAAAAAAATGCTGAGAGTTTCAACAAATGTTATATTTTATACAAGACATTGTTTGATGTCTTTGTGTTCATATCTAGATAACGTTGAATACATATTGAAAGTCTAACAAATGTTATATTTAATACAGGTCGTTGTTTTCATGTAGTTGTTTTCTTATCCAGATAATGTTAGCTTAATACTGACATTTTAGCCACTGTTTTGTTATTTGTTTCCGTATCTGGAATACGTACCGGAAATCTAAAGATAAATCCGGAAAAGTTGATATTTGATAGCTTAGCAACTGTCATATTTAAAATAGATCAATATTTGAATTCTTCTCTTTGTATTTATATTTTCATTTTTTTTTTTTTTTGTGGTACATCCATTTTTAATAACAATTAAAGCATATTATTATATGAGATTCACCCTTACACATGTTCTGGTTTTTTTTTATAAAATCAAACTTAATAACTAAGAAGGAAAAAAGAAAACTAAAAATGGTATCTCCAGTGTTTTGGTACATAACAATTAATTTCATTGTTTATCTCAAATACAACCATTGTCCTAAAGCGATTTATCTATTGACATTTCTTCTAACATAACAAGTGGTTTTTGCAATACGGGCGGATTGGTCGAATGGTAAACACTCCGGCCTTCCACGCAGGCGATCGGGGTTCGATCCCCGAAGTCGTCTTACGCATGGATATTCAGAGAAAGTGTTTTTCTCCTACCCAAACAACTCCAACAACCCAGCTGGAGTATAAATTGGTCTGGGATGGATGTTGCCGTATCTGTGCTGTAGCATTCAAGTGAGATGGCACTATAAATGATGCCGCTGGAAGCACGGTCCCACTACAAACAGAACACATTACTACTCCAGCACAGACGCACGCATACACACATAGGGAGATATTAGCCAGTTGGCATATGAATAGTAGTAAGCGCATGAAAAGGCAGCTCATGCGAATTCCTTAAAATTGCATTGATTAATGTATAAATTGTATATCTATGTACTGTTAAGCGCTTTAGAGGGGCTTAGTCTAGCTAGTTAGGGCGCTATATCAAATGTTGTATATTATCATTATCAATACACATGTGATACATTGACATTGTATTTACTGATTACCGACAAAATGTCGACTAAAGCTGATGAAAACCTACAAGAATGTCTGTAGATATCATATGCATAAAAGATTTTATACAAATACAAGGTAAGGAACGATCTATTTAAAAATTAAGTTTCTAGATGCAAAAAGTCAAGCAACGTAAACATTTCACTGCCAATTTGTCCATTTGATCGATTTAGGAAACATCAGTGGCGTTAAAGTCAAATAAAAAGTGTTAGAGAACTAGTGTTCGGACACAACAGTAGAAATACTGCGAAAGGGAAAAGAAGCATTTAAGGACGATGAAACCTCAATCAATTAAAATAATTAAAGATTTTTTCATAAAAAAAAATGTAAATCTCAAGATTCTATTTGGATATATTCGTACAATATCATACATTCTACCACGTCTTCGATATACCGATATTTTTTCTTTGGTTAATAACCATGCGTTATTGGACGCTATATCATGCGTGTGTATGTATTATTATCTAACAGACCAACGGTCTTCCAAAAACCTCTCCTGCAAATGTAAACAAGCGAGCCTTGGGACTGGGTCCCTTTGTCAAATGAGAGTACACGCATTTACGTATGTTTTTGAAGATTTCTTTAGCGGACTAACACATACGTTTCGATTTAACCTCTAGATCTACATTAACCCTGTCAAGCTCACGATCAGAATGTTCTACCGAATTTACCGCAAAGGTGACTTGAAATAGTGTTTGTAAATCTGTCAAGTGCTGATTTCATGTGTTGACGAACGATGTCAATAGATTGGTGGTTTGATTGAGTGAATTAAACATCTGCTTTTAAGCATGACGTCAGTGTTAATTGTTTATCTTCTGTCGACCAAACGGCGACAGTAACTGAAAAATTAGACAAAATAGGACAACTGCTAACAGGGTAAGACATTACAAAAACTCGCAGCCTGTTGTAAAATGAGGACAAATAGACATCACGTGACAAATGTTGGTTCGCATAAAAGAACAGCCTAATTTATATAATCTTTTTATCTGGGCCACGTTATTGCTTATTATAGGCGGATGAACAAATATGACGACGCAAAAAGACTTAGTAGAATAGATATAATCAACATATGTTTTTATATTATGTTAGAACATTTTACTGGATTCGAATATGTTGGAGAAAAAAAAATAACTCCTGCTGTATTCAAATACATCTTAACTCACAAAATATTGATTTGATTTGCGATAAAATTCTTTCTTTAATTTGCAAATTTAGGTGAAATCTAAATGCATCATTTGTCACTGACGGTCAAACAATTTTTTTAAACTCTAGATGTCTGGCGATTTTTTTTTAAATACCCATTAAAACATAGTTAAGCACCACTGACAAAATGGCTGCATGATTCAATAAATGTTTAATTTGGCTCTCTGCACTAATTACCTAAGTTTTAAAAAAGTGTTTCTTTACTTCGAATGTCTAGAGGTTATTTTACGTAACAAAGACTGCTTGTGGACTGCCATTTCTGAGTCTGACCATAACCTCGTACCTAGAATATATTCTGGCATCGTTTGCATGAAACACTAGTTTAACAATGACTGATCTGCTGTAGGCAAAAGGTGAAGATTTGTAACGCTATGAAGCTTGAATTGGCTCGTTTCCGTTTTTCCGTTTTTCTGCATGACTTTCTTGATAGAAGTCGACAGCTGACGGACAAACTGACAACAAAGGGTTTCTAAAGATGCCGGTTGATGAAGACTATGGATACGTTTTATGGCCGTCATCATGATATCCTTGGGAGCATAATGTTATATCTTTGTCTGATGTAAAGGTTGTTGCTTTTTATTATCCTCATTATTGTGCCTTGTGGTTCGGTATGAGGACGTGACATTGAGAAGTGACAAGTCAGTGACAGTTGCACTCCATCAAGGAGATCTGTCACTTAATGGAAGATGATGATGATGACATAACTTGGATTTGACCTAAATTTCCCTGTCGGGTGTCATTGATGAGAGCAAAAGACGCCTACCCTTCCGGAACACCTGGGCTAGTATTCATGAAACCGGACTCATGCTTAAACTATGATTCTGTTCTCAAGGCCAATTTCTTGTTCCGGTAATAACTAAATAAAACTTTACATTTTGTAAATACATTTTGTAAGAATTTTGGAAAGACTTAACGCCGGATACCACTTTAAATGTTTGCATTTTACTGTTTATAAATGCACAAGTTTTTAGCGATTTACGGGAAAGTTGGTTTAAAAACGGAGTTCATGCTTGAGCCTGGGAGCGGCTTCATGAATATTGGCCCTAGTTTTAATCCCGTGTTCTTTTTCAAGGGTTTTCATGTGAACTTTTGTTCATATTTTCTTTAATTTCAAATTATGGTTTTGTTAACACGTCAGTATTCTCTCTGTGTTGAATGTACATAGTGAAGATACATAAACATTTATGAATATGCTGAAATGTACATAGTGAAGATGCACGAACACTTATGAATATGCTGTAATGTACATATTGAAGATGCATGAACACTTATGAATATGCTGTAATGTACATATTGAAGATGCATGAACACTTTTGATAGTGAAGATACATGAACACTTATGAATATGCTGTAATGTACATATTGAAGATGCATGAACACTTATGAATATGATGTTATGTACATAGTGAAGATGCATGAACACTTATGAATATGATGTAATGTACATAGTGAAGATGCACGAACACTTATGAATATGCTGTAATGTACATAGTGAAGATGCACGAACACTTATTAATATGCTGTTATGTACATAGTGAAGATGCATGAACACTTATGATAGTGAAGATGCATGAACACTTATGAATATGATGTTATGTACATAGTGAAGATGCATGAACACTTATGAATATGATGTTATGTACATAGTGAAGATGCATGAACACTTATGAATATGATGTTATGTACATAGTGAAGATGCATGAACACTTATGAATATGATGTTATGTACATAGTGAAGATGCATGAACACTTATGAATATGATGTTATGTACATAGTG